CCTAAATAAATTTCAAAGATCCATTTCTGTAAAAGTTTCATCAAATGAATATACACACACACACACACAGACATTTAAAAAAAGAAAATTTTGGCATCCAGCCATCAGTATAGATTTTGTGACAAAGTTTAATTTTGGATTTCTTTCATATATATATATATATATATTTATACATATTTTTTTTCAGATGTAACTTACAACAGAAAAATGATTACAATGTTAAATAAAACATTTGCATTTTTTTTAATTAGTTTATATTATAAAAAGACTTGTTATATAAAAATGAGACCCCATTTTAAAAAAAAAATAATGTCTTTATTAAAATTATCTTCAGCAATAGACTATTTTAATAAGTTTATCACAACTTGAATTCAATATCTTAGCAATGCCTTACTTTTCCCAATCAATTTTTTTCAACACTCAATTTTTTTAGCTGGTTTACTTCTGATTACAGATTCAATCTAAATTTTTTTTCTTAATAGTTATCTTTAATATTCAGTCTGAAGTCAATGATTTCCTAAAATTCTTAATTTTTTAAAAAATTCCATAAAAAGGTCACAATAATTTAGTAGTTTTTTGTCTTTGTATTTATTTCACTTTTAATTCATTTGTTTTTTTTCCAGTGTTGAGGGTGAGAATTTAGCTTAAAATTCTCCTAAACTTCATTTACTGAATAGGGATTAATAGTTTATTTTACATATATGAATATAAAATTTCCATTTGTTATAAATGTTCAAGGAAAGTAGAAATCATTTTTTGATACTTAAGGAAATGACCTTGTAAGATTTGAGAATCCCAATCTAGAGTTTGCTCATCTATGGTCTACAATTCTCACATTTTAATCTAAAACGTTAGCTAGACAATTTCATCGTCACAAATCTTGTGCTCAAATCCACCTCTTCTTCCCCTACGACCTTCATAAAGAAAAAAATTGAAAATTTTATCTCTGCTCAGATTTTATTCAGTGACTGCTGCTAAATTTCGGCAAAGAAAGAACTTGAAAATTCCAACAAGTGATTTTTCCTGGTTTTCCTAAAAAGGACTCAGCTGGCTGCAGATTTGTTACCAAAATGCTTGTTCAGCTAAATCGACTCAAGTTCAATCTCCTAATGTTAAGACCTATATCACCTGATGTTCCTGATGTCAATAATGAAATGTCTACAGGATTGAAATTCATGAGGGTGAGAAGAAAAAAAAAAAAAAAAACTGAATTTATTACTTAAAAAAAAAAAAATGAAAAAATTAAAATATAACAACAAAGTGGAGAAGAAAATGAAAAAAAAAATAGTAAAAAAAGAAAACGTAATCAAATGGAAAAAATACTAAAAAGGAACAAAAAAAAAACTGAGCTGAATTTTTGAATTGTTATGTACTTTTTTTTTTTTTTTTTTTAAATTAATTTACTTTTTTAGCAAGTAAAATTAAAACTAGAGTTGGGCTAAAAAAAATGACAATAACAAATAACAATCTTCAGATGTTGTCATGTCAGTGTCAGAGTCACACTAGAAAATATGCTGTACCTCTTGTGAGAACTCCTTGTTATGATGTGAGATGATGTCAACCCATGAACTCCTATCAAGTGATATACGCACACACATATGCATGCACACACATTATGGCTCATCTGCTGCTAAAGATGTTTAATCATTCATCATTTGATCCAGTCATTCAATTAGTTAACATTTATGTCAGTCCATTCTACAATTCTATATCTTGTAAAATTAAAAATAAAGGCATTTATATATCTAATGCATTAATACATTTTTAAATGCATATCAATTTGTAGACGCACACACACATACACACACAAAATTATATCCACACTAATCTGTTGTTTATCATAAACAGACGTATGTACACAGTTCTGTGACATTAGTAGATTTGTGTGCATATGTATATGGGTGCGTTATCACTAATGATTTGGTTCGTAATTTTAAAATGTATAAACTGCAGATGTTGAGTCTTATGTTGAAATCATTTATGAAGATATCTTGACTGTATTTCACTATTATCTTTGCATTAAATTTTTTCAATGTGAAATATATAGCCATATTTAAATTAAGAGTGAGTGGGGGAACAATCCACAAACAATTTGTTTCCTGAAATATTTCAGATCATCTTTAAATGGAATTCACCAAATATTCAGGTTCAACAATGACATACTCAGAACCAACAATTATCATCAGCTGTTCAATGAATTCGTCTTTGTAGTTATGATGAATATAAAGTGAAGGATCAATTATTTAAATACTAAACCAATCATCCATTTAATGCCCTATAAATACAATTAAGAATTTAATAATAATAATAATTAGTATTATTTTTTATATTTGCTGTTCTTATAAATATTTTATTAATCAATCCCCTACTTTACATTCCATAAAAAAGTACAGAAAAATCCCTAATTTAAATAATTTAAACTTTCATCATAAAAAAAAATAAACTTTCTTCAAATAAGTTGAAATCCTACTTGTCACTCTCCACACCAAAATGCATATTTTTTAAATGTATAAAAAAGAGACTTGCCATCCATAGAACATTGTAACTCACAAATGATAAGATGAACAGTTTCTTATAATTTTGTTTAACTCTACAACAAATATTCTGCTTTGTTTATGATGTACATTAATAAATCAACATATGAGGATTAGTCAAAATGTAATGCCTATTCTAATTGAATATTAAAAGTATTAGAATTCTTACAACTTTATAAATAGCAATAAACCATGACGAGCTTAGAAACCCTGGAGAAACATTTGTGGAGTTACCTTCTCTTTTTCTATCCATAATTTAATTTCATAATGGCTGGATATGTGCAGGAAGCTATCAGAAAATTTGTTTTTGGAAGGAGAAAGGACATTAGTAAATGTTTATGGTAGGCATGCACTTGATATAAGCACAGTAAGATTTGACGGAAGAATTAAAGGCAACTTAAAAATAAAAAAGACAAGCAATCACAGCACAGGGCTGGACAGTGTTACTTCTTCCATGCTCCAATCTTGACATGGGACCCTCAGACTTTTACCTGTGGAGAGACACTTCGAGAAGTGTAGTTTTTCAATGCTAAGAGACAACTGACACGCAGGACTAAGAAAGCAGTGTAAAAGCTTCATCCAAAGTTGAAACACATTTAAAAAAAAAAAAAAAAATGTTGAAGACTAGATTTGAAATCCTGCAATTTTTGTGTTCATTTTAGGGGCTTCTACTATTAAATCTGTCATCATTAAAGAATAGGCATTACATTTTTACTGACTCATAAATAAGCTTTTTGAAACTGTATATGTTTGGTTTATGTTTGAATTTTGTTCAAAGGATGCATCATTGGCATTCATGAATTTATTTCAACCATCTTCAGGTAATATTTTGTCTGTGGATAATCTATTTTTCATCATGAATGGATTAACTCACTTTATTCAGATTCAACTAGAAAATAATAACATCACATTGAAATGATTACAGAATGGAACATATAAAAAATGAATCATTTTTCTAGTCTTATTTAGTTATTTGTCAGTGAAGACCAATTTTAGCACAAAGCTACATTCACGAAATAGCCAATAAGGAATGCACTCCAAATAAATGATTTGCAAAACTAATACATTAACCTCTAGACTTAGAGATTAAAGCCATAACCAACTTTTGATGGTGGTATGTTCAGCCTGTGTATGCACTCATTTAATCAAAACACTGAAAATGACTCCTAAAAACTGTTAACTTACAATAAAATTCCACTTGTCACATGAGATGGTAACTTAACAACAACAAAAAAGACCCATTCTTGATGGTCTAATAAAAATTTAGTGAATTTCTCAACTCTCCTGAAAAGGGGAGTAGAATCTTTTTGCAAAATATAAATCCTCTTTCCATGGCTACAGAAAACAAATCAACCTTGTTTTAACATAAAACTGACATTACAAAAACACTCCAGCAATTACAAAATTAATGTCTTGGTTAATGTTAGGAAAGTAGGTTTATAAAACAACTCTAGTATTGCTCATCCTATGATAATGTTTTAATGTTGGCAGTATAGTTTTGCTATTGTAATATCAATTTTGTCATACTTTTCATCACATATGTGAAAGGGAAACTACAAATTTGTGAATTACAAAGTAATGGTAGATTATTTTGACTTCAACAGAAAGCAAATTGCTGCTGTAAAAACATTTTTTACAAAAATGCATTGATTCATACAAAGATTTCAAAAGACTAAAATGACAAAAATTGTCTGTGATAAACATTTGGTAAGAATAAAATTTCTTATATAGCTTATGTTAGAATTGTAGCATTACACTGGGCTGAGAAATGGGACACTGTAAGACAAGGGGAAATCTTTATGACAAAGTAAGAAAGGTAAATGATTTAAAATGAAACAAAAAATGGTCCTTTAAAAATTGGCTAAAATTTTGTCAAATTCACAATCCCCATAATTATTTATAGTTGCAGGCATTTTGAAAATGAAACCATCACAATCACACATATAAACAAAGATACATTGCAGTGTGTATGTGCAGATCAATGTGTCTAAAATATCAAGTGTGTTTACTTTGCTATACTGAGATTTAAGTTTCAGGCTCCTATCTAAAAATAGCAACTACCAATCCTTAAAAAATATATCTATACAAACATGTATAAGTAAAATACAGATGTGGCTATAAGTTGTATCAGACAAATAACAAGGAGCTTAGTTGAAAGATATTATTACAACTTATAAATGACTATTTTTCAGAGTATTAAAAGTCCATCCGAGCTGTTGTAAGTTGAATGCCAAATAAATCAGATGAAAAAAAAAAACAAGAAATGAAGATTTATCTCCTGAAAAAAATCTAAGCTGATCAGCTACAGCCAATAGGAATTTTAAAAGTTCCTTATTTTTCTTTTTGCTCACATTTCACACTCACCAACTTCTCTTAATAGATAATAAAAGGATAGTCAGCTGACCAAATCATCATGATTAAGAAAAGAAAAATTCTTTATTAAATCAACACCAATAAAAGCAACTCCTATGTAAAGTTAAAATCAAAAGCTCGGAACATCTTTTTAAAATCCTTGGCATTCTGTTTCTCTTCATCTTCACTCATGTTACACTGTCTCCAATCAACTCTCTCGGGGATGTTGAGTAACATTGGTGAGCACAACACTTCCCTACAAACACAAAATAATAACAAGAGTTCATAACCAGAAATAATATTTGTCAATAGACATCAAATAGAACAAAGCAAAAAATCCTTAACCCTTAGAGCCCTGACCACTGCTTTACCAGCGGTAAAGAAAAATGACTTAATGCCCAGTCACCGGTTGAATGGTGAGTAAACGCTTGTAACTATTTTTATATCTACCGTGAAACATTATATACCTATTATTTGTGAATTTTGCCTCAGGAGCTCAGGCTGAAGAGTTAAAATTGTTCAGGAACGCAAGGCTCAAAGGGTTAAAATAAGAATGGCAAACCAACTATAATTAGTCTTATTTTCAATTAGTATTTGTAGAAATAAATTTGGAAACAAATATCAAAATTAGGATATGCTAAACAAAAATGTGCATGTGTGTATATAAATGATTCTGGCATAGGAACATCTACATGGGTTTTTCAGAATGGTTTTTCTATTTCCATGCTGTGTTTTGACTGGAAATTTAGATTTGTGTCTCCCCCAGCAAAGCAAGAAAGCTGGGGTTTTTTGTTGTTTTTTTTTTCTTTTTTTGCAACAAATGAGTGAAAATGGAAAGAATTACAGAAGAAAAATAAACAATGTATTATGAGAAATTTAATTGTGTTCTTTGTATATAAACTATTATGAGCAACTTGGAAAAGACTTTTTAACAGACACAATTTTAGTAAAGCATAAATCCTAACTCTATCAAAGATAAGTTTACTGTGATGCTAAGATTTTTGACCTCGGGGTAAAATAAATATACGCATTAAACCAGTATAACATTAATTATACTGAGCTTTTTATATTTGTTTAAAGGAAGTGAAGAGAAGTCCATTAGGGAAAGAGAATAAGGCATACATTCAACAGGATAGCAATCAAAATGTAGATGATGAATTTTTAAATCAGTTTCTTTGCAAATAAATTTCCGGCTGTCATTAAATGGTAAAGTTTACCAAACATACCGGAAATAAAAAAAAAAAAAGCAATATTTCAAAAGGACAGTTTTTCTATTACTCTATTGGCAATTTTTATTGCTTTAAAATAGGGATATTCACGAATTTGCTGAAAAAATGACATACTATGAAGAAAAAAAGCCCCTAACTTTATGAAAACTAAGTTTTATTGTCAAAATCTTTACATTATCATCAACTCCTGTTGATAACCAGTGTTTTTTGATCATTTTAGAACATACAAAATTCTGATTAAAAATTGTTTTTCTTGTGTCATCAAATTTTAACATCTTTTTTGCAGTGAAAAATACATTGATTTGGAAATTCTTGCAGAATCAAATAAATGTAAGATTTAATGAAATTTTTAAAACTTATTAACAAATGAATGAAATTATTTTAGAAATGTTTTTTTAGAAAGTCTTAGTAAAAAAATTTTTTTTTTTTTTTACATCCGTTACCCATACTTAATTTTATTCAAATTTCGTTAGTTAGTTAGTTAGGTGGGTTTTCTGGCATATCAATCCTGTGGGTTATTTAATACCAAATAATGTTTATATATATATATATATATATGATTTGAAAACGAATAGTTTATAGGTAGCATTGTTTTTAAAACTAGCAGAGCTCATTTTAAGTATGTGGTGTTTTATATTTTTTGGTACAGCCCCACTTCCTTCAGGAATCCAAAAATGTTATTTGGATTGACTTGTTCAAAATAGGTCCTTCAGGTTGTCGACCTGGTAATGTTTGGAACAGATTTCAATGAAATCAATGCATTTCATCAATATATGTTCCACTGTAAATGGTGCATGACAGCCAACACAGAATGGAGGAGCTTCTCCTTTAAGCAGATAAGAGTGTGTTATGTATGTGTGGCCTTTGTGGAGTTGAACACGGGTTACTTCCTCCTTTCTCACTTTTCTGTAACTCTGGTAGGTCTTGCTCATTGGTTGAATCTTTTTTAGTTTATTGTTAGTGCCATTATCCCACAGAGTTTGCCATTAGTTTGTTATAAACCTATTAATTATTGGTTTCAAATCAGTGTATGGAATTTTGGTGTTTGTTTTGATAACTGTATAGTAATCTTTTAGTGGCCTTATCCACTTTTTTGTTTCCACAAATGCCAACATGGCTCTGTATCCAACAGATGATTGTTTTTTATGTTTCTATCACTAAGTTGAATAATTAGTGGCGTTCTTATATATTTTTATTTTATAGCCCTTCCAGTGAGGATTTTGAGTCTCTACATATCACAAATTTGTTTGATCTGCTGTATTTGATTATGTTCAATGCCAGATCAATGGCTGTTAACTCAATGGTGTAAATTGATGCAGTCCTTGGGGCGGTCTTTTTGTATATTCTTTGCTGCCATAGATGGCAGAATTTCCTTCCCAATGCATCTTCATCTTTAGATCCATATGTATATATATATATATATATATATATATATATATATACACATTTATAGTCTGAATAATGGTCTTTTGTTTTCAAATGCATCCTGAAATATAATTGGGTTTGTTCTGTTCTTTGAACATTTTGCCAATTCAAGTATAAAACTTGTTTTTAAACATGTTTTTCTTATTTTCTACTATGTTTTTTTATGCTAATAAATAAATAATGTTTGTTTCAAATTAGATTAAGTAAACTTTAAATTTCCTAATTATCCTAAAAAACCTTTGAAAAAGTATATTTTATTTTTGAAAGATTTTTAAAATGGAGAATTAACTTTTGCTTACAAATGTCCCAAAAATGAGAAACATCTTCAATTTTACTAAAAACAAAAAACAAGTCTATTCCAATCAATATAAATTCAGTTTATAAGTAAGCAAAATACACCAAAGTATTTTTGCCTATGGGGTATAGTAAATTTATTCCTTTACCTTTGAAAGAAAGCTTCAAGAAAGATTTTTACTTTTTAGAAATACATTTTAAATGTTAGGTATCATGAATTTGTGAACATCCCTACTTTAAAAGCTATTTTCAGAAATTTAATGAAGGCCAAACATATGAAAGTGGAGTTATACATTTTTAAATAAATTATAAATTTTGAAAAATTAGCAACAATTTAAATTTTTTTTCAAAAAAACCATAGGAAACGGGTTGATCCATAATTGCTGGAGTTTCTTGGATTTCCATTCATTAGGAATACTAGTTCAAGATTATACAAAAAACAAAATTCAGAAAAATTATGTTTTGATTTTATGAGGAGAATTCATTTCGGAATTTTGAAAATGTGATTGTCCATATTATGATGAACATATAATAGCTAGAATAATCCCCGTACCACCACCACAATTGGAAAATTAAAAGAGGTTATCTGAGATATACATTTTCTTCTGGTTATTTTATATTTGGAAAATGCATTTTTTTTTAATTTATAATTTTTTTTAAAAATTTGTTTCATAGTTATTTCTTTATTGCATTGTAGTTGGTTCACATATCTTGTTAATATAAAATTATTATTGTAAATAAACAATCAAATAACTAAAATAGCTTTTAATATTTTTGTTGTCAATTCTCGAAAAAAAAAAAAAAAAAGAGAGAATGCATAAATTAGGTTTCATGTTTGGGTTTTATTAAAATTCTAAAAATAGCTTTTTAAAACAATAAAAACTGCCAAGAGTATTTACAGTAAAATGTCAAGAGAAAAACAATCCTTTTGTCACACAATTCTTTTTGCAGGTATAAACTTAGCCCATTATAGTTTCTTTTGAGATTTCCAAACTTAAAATAGATCAACAATAAATTAAGTCTGAAAGTTATAGAAACATATTCCACCCAAAAAAACTAAAGCTCCAAAAATGGTCATAAGAAATCAATTCAAAATTAGGACCCAACTTTTGGAAAGCCTCACCTTCCAAACTGCAATGGAAAGAATTTTGATATTCTACACAAAAGTTTTTCTCCAGTTGGCACCTCAGCAAAGAAATAAGGAGATTCTAGACGTACAATCTGAAAAAAATATTTCAGCTTTAATGACTGCCAAAATGCCAAAATATTTATACAATGTTAGCTTCATTTTTTTTTTCTTAGTAAACCAATGGTAAAACAATAATCAAAATGAATGCCAATGCAACAGAGCATTGGAATTCTGTTTTTCTCAACGCCAATAAAGCAAAGTAACATCAAAGAGTCTTTTAGAACTAATTCTAAATTCTAACAGCAGATAACGATTAACAAATAAGCACAGAAGTCCATATTGTAAAAGTCCAAATGTTTCTCCCTAATAAATAATGATGTTAGATCAAATAAGTAGAAAGCATCAAAGTAGGTAATAAAAGTTTTTTACATATGTTATTGAAGTTACTTTCATTCTTGATATTTTTCAATTGATAGTAGAAACTTGTTCAAAATGAATTTGGTGAGGGAGAATGGCAATGAGAGAAAAAAGGTTTTTAAAGATACCTGTTTTAAATCTGAATGTTTAGGAATTTCATTGAGATCCAGTGTCTCTTCTAAAGCAAAGTCCTGAAAGGCATCAATCACATTAGAAGCCTTCTCGGATGGAACAGGTACAACCTTAAAAAAGAGGAAACAGAAATCACAGATAGACTTTCAAACATTTCTATTCTAACTGCAGACAAAAAAGTAAAGAAAAGAAAGAAAATGTGTAGAAAATTGAATATTTTATTTCTTCTTGCCTGAATTTGAAGATGAGATGTTTTGTAATTTCGTTCAAAAAAGACAGTAGCTTTCCCAGTGCTTCTGAAGTATTTCTTCAGTGAAGATTTATATTTACTAAAAAGTCAAGGATGGTCAACATGGTAGCACTACTAAAGAAATTATAAAGTACAAAATAGAAAGATAATTATGTTTAAATGCAGTTTTTTCCAACTTAGAAATTTAAAATGAAAATGGATTGCAATATTGAGCTGGCTATTAAATGCAAAAATCTTTTTAAACTTCACAAATGAGAAGGCATATAAGGTTCAACTTGACCTCCAAGGTCAGCAGAGGTCATTAAAGGCAGAATAAGTTTGCAGTCTTTGGAGATAAATTGGTATGGCAGCAGAAAAAAAGTACAGGATAAGTGAAGATGACCTTTAAGATCACTGGAGGTTAATTATAGATTTAAAAACAGCTTCTTTTTATAGATTAAAATAACTTCTTTTTTCCAGACAAATAAATTAAAGGAGTAAAAAATTTTGTTTCTAAAACATTGTGCAATCCTGACAAATATTCCCAAACAAAACTTCTGAATATTTTCCTCTGCTATATTTGAAGCTATTTTTTCCCACAGCAATACAAGTAAATATTCAAAAAGGATATTTTTCTATCTCCTCAATAGTTTCTGGGGGTGCAACCACTGTAGACTGATAATGGCCAATTGGAAGGATAAGGACATGATCAGGTACAAGACCTCCTTTGGCCAGGGCAAGATAGGTCTGCAAAAAAATTACAAATAGCATTCATTAAATCCAATAAAACAAACACACGTGTGTGTGTGTGTGTGTAAGAGTCATTCTATATCAAATCAACAACAGTCTATCATTGACATAGATTTTTTTCAAATTTGCTACACTTATAGAGCTTCATGATACAAATTGAACTGTGCCTATTTTACATCTTTAGTATAATAAAAATAAGGTTGTTTATTTTCCACTGAATTGGTCAGCATTTGACTACAAATAACATAAATTCTGTTTAATTAAAATGATTGTCCTATGGAGCTTACATTCATTTGCACCTTGTCTATTAGGCAATGTTATGAAGCTGGATCTACTGAGATTCTCTGGTATCTTGCCACTGTTGTATATTTTGTTTAATCATGTCGATGGTGAAATCATCTAAGGCTGGTAGTATTTCTGTTATGATACCATCAGGCTCTGCTGCTGCTGTTTTTCCTGTTCAGCTTCTGATTTTACTTCATCTTTTACTATTTCCAGCTCTTCCGTATTTTCCAGTGTAGGTTTCCCTCTTGCATTCTTTTTTGACATATTTGTTCCATCTTTGAAATATTTTTCCCCTTTTTCTATTATCAGTGATCTCCTTCCTTTGATTTTATAGAGCCTGTCGGTTGGTTCACCTTTTGTCCTGATAATTCTTTTATTTTGTTGTGCATAACTAATATAAAAAAAAATTCAGTAAAGGTGCTCAATACTGTGTAGAACTTAAATAAACCAATATAAAACATAAGCCTCTTAGCAACCTAAGTTTCACACTTTTGGTCAGGATATATTTTTATAATTATGAATTGTTTATATTCTCCATGTTTAATTATGTAGTTAATGTCAATTTCAAATATGAACAGTTTTTATTTTTTTACCAGTACTGTTTTCAATAAATATGATGGTGTCATCTCTATATATCCAATATAGTTCATGGTGGAAAGTCAAGTTCAAAGGACCCCTCACTGTGAACTATATTTGATCTACAGAGAGCATATTTATTTAAACAAGAATACAACTATATAACCTCTTTAAATGGTAAGGAAATACCGTAATAATACCAGCTTTTCCAAATACATCTGGAAAATCAAAGAGGGAAAAATGTAGAACTTGAAAATAAAATGAAAAATAATAATAAAAAAAAGTAGAAGTTATTCAGTAAGGGAAAAATGTTTAACTTATACCAAGAAGAAAAATAGGCAATTATACTATTTCCAGACATAAATTGTTCAACTGGAGATCAGAAAATACCATCAAGATGTGTACATATCAAGTATCTAATGGAAAAAGAATAAAGATAAGGTTACTGAAATTAACTACGTAATTAAACATACACACATACATATATATATATAAAAAAAAATCATACATACACACACACATCCTTACATTTAGGCAACTAAAGTTAGCCACAAGGTGTTAAAACTTAGCAGCTGGAATCCAGGTGTCCCTTGAGAATACTTTTTCTAAAATAATTTTATCTGTACCATCAGCCCCAACAGATTTAGATGGCTCCAACTAGGAGACAAATGTTAGTGATAAAAAATAATTTTTCACGCTGACATCCAGTATATAATAATCGTCTTTTTCTCATCATAGCATTGACTTAGAAAAGGACAGTCAAAAATAAATTATAAGAAATTTAAAATTAAGAAGTAAAAAAGAAAAAAAGATAATTTAAAAAAACTGTGTAAACACATCAGACACATTTGAAAAATTCCTGAGCATCTGAATTTTTGAGTAAGTAACAATATTTTCTCTGGTAGTGAGACTACCACACATATATAAGTGTGTTTCAGAGTATTGATAGATAAATAAATAAACTAACCGTTTCACCAACACTAACCACCAGATGTTTTTCCACCTTATCCCCTCGAAGACAAAACCAGCAAGGGCCTGAAGGTTGCACTGAAAACATTAAAAAAAGATTATAAAAATAAATCCTGGAATTTTGCAAATTTCATATTGATTAGAAACTTTTGACAGCACCTCTACTTAAATCACAAATGAAAAACTTTCTCTGCATCTAAAAGAAAGTTCCTCTTAGGTCATATCAATTTTTATTTTTTCCTGTTTTTTCCCACATGTTGTATACACATACATAATATACATACCAACTGAAATTATTGGTAGTTTGAGTTTTTAAATTGATTGAAAATAATAACAAAGAAAATCAAGTCATAAATATATAAAGAAACATTTTTAATATTTAATTTTGAACAATTATGCGAAAAGGAAAATATAATTGCATACTAAAAATGGCACAAGAAAATTAATATTCAGTTGCACATTTTTTGAGCAATAACTTTTTAATTAACCTTTTACTAAATTAACACAAATATCTACAGGGATATTTGGCCACATTTCATCCCATGTTTTCAACTGGATTTATTTCAAGCTTCCGTGAAGGTCAACGTAAAACATTTATATTCTTATCCTCAAGATGTTGCCTGGTTCACACTCCTTCCCCATCTTTTGAACAGTAGAGGTTTATCTCTTGTTTCTGATTAGGTTTCCAGTTTTTTCTCCTAAATTCTTCTCATTCTCTTTCACTCTCAGTAGCTCCTTATGTCTTAGTGGCATTATCACCTTGCTTGGGTTGAAATGATTAAAAAATAATTTCTGGACTAAGTTACAAATAAGTTTTGAATCATTGTTCACTTTCAGATTTCTAACAGACACTTTTTCATGCTGACATCCAGTATATAATAATCGTCTTTTTCTAATCATAACATTGACTCTTAACAAGTTTCCACTCCTTTTTGCAGAAAAACACCACCAAAATATGATAGTCCTTCCTCCAGATCTTGTTGTAGGAATGATGTTCTTTGGATTGAAAGTATCACTTTGACATTTTCAAACAAATTTTCTGCCTATACGCCCAAAATATTTTAAGTTTTGTCTCTCTGACCATAGAATATTCTCTCAGGCTTATCAATATGTTCATTCACAAATGCTAAACTAAATTTCAAATAACAAGCCTTTAGAAAAGGTGTCTTATAAGGGTTGGCCTCTTGTAATAGATAGCATTTCTTGTTCCTTTCACTCCAACAGCTTCCAGATTATTCCTAAGATTCTCACTTGTAATATTTGGATTATTTTCAACATTTTTTAGGTTATGAAAGATTTCAAATAAATGCAAAGTTATAATGAAAAGAATAAATAAAAAATGTTTGTGTCAGTGAATGTGATGAGCTCATTTAATGTTAGAATAATGACCAGTGTTCTGGCCGGCAGTTTCATCTTCCTAACACATCCAAGTTTATTTGCAACAGTAGTTAATCACTTGAACTTTAAAATGAGATTTCAAGCAGTTGATCTAGAAAGAGTTAATTATTTCAAAAAGACACATCCACTGCCAAATCAGGTAGACCTGAATAATCTTAGTTTTAATTTCTAAACTATGTTTAGATGATTCCACCGTTATCCAGATGGGTAGCGGGTAATTACATTTAGTAACAAAGATTTGTCCACAGACTGAAAGAGAAGAATATTTTGTAGAAAATACAAAAATGTATCATGAGGCAATTAATTATGAGAAGAGAAAAACACTGCTTATCACCTTCACTGACCCAAACATTTTTTATTTATTCCTTTCATCATAACTTTGTATTTATTTAAAATCTTTCCTGCAACAATCACCTAAAATGCACATTCTCTTACAATTCATGTGTGCAAAAAAATAAAACAAATGATTTATATTTTATATTTTAAAAGATTTTCACACAGTGATTTGAAACCATACAAAAAAATATTCTTTTAAAAAATGCATTAATAAGTGACCTTCTACCCTCCCCTGGCACACACAATCAAATATGACAGAAAAAATAACTTAATTGGCAGAAAAACGGTGTAGGAAAATGGAAAAAATAAAATAAAAATATAAATTAATGGGAAACATATCCACATTGTGAAAGAATATTTCTTTTCTGTCATTTAGCAAGAAAAGCAAAAGTCAAAAAAAGAAATTTTATTGAAAGGACCAATGAGGCAACATTCTTTCTAGCTAAATTAAGAAAAGCAAAAGAAACCTATCTCTATTTTAAATAGATTGGTCTGACAAGTCTTCACAGAAGTTCCAAATTCCTAAACAGAGACTTCAAGATGCTCATCTAAATTAGCCCCATTCATATGACACAATTGTACTACACTTATCCATCTTGCAAAAGTCTGATGAAAACAAGTTCTCTTTCTCCATTCTGATCATAATATTAATTTAGTGCTTAAAGTAAGCAACCAGAGTATGAGAAGAATGACAGAAATCACTGCAAACTGGCTTCAGTTGCATTCCCTCTCACTACACCCCCCCCCCCAAAAAAAAACACCATTCACATCACAACTAATAAATACAAACATGTTTTTTCTTGTCAACTGACATGCTCAAGTAGCTACAGACAGAAGTAACTTCCAAGAAAACTCTCCATGAAGTATGTATTCCATGAAACCTTCAACAAACTTGTACAGCAGCATAAGCTTGTTTCATATCTCACTACAATGAACAAATTCTGGTGAAGTAACCAGTTCTGTCATGAGAAGACCTTTTGCCAACTCAGATTATGCTTCAAAATATCAGAAGTGAGGGATGTGCCTTGTTATTGCTGAAGCATTTCAATTTGGCTACAAATATGTGCAATATCTGCTGAATAAGATGAACAAGGGAAAACTTCCTTGTTGAGTTGTAACAATTTTTACCTGGTCACCAGAGAAATGTAGACTGACATTATCTGAATAAAAGATTATGTTCTTTTCCTTATGAATGCTTTTTTGTTAGTTGCTGCTTTCAACGGATCAATAGAGAGCAGTACTTGTTCAAATCAATCATTTTCTTATCAAGAAGAAACTCATATTAAAGGAATATCAAAGGAAATCTCCAGCGTAAAACTTTCTACACTCAGTCAGTGGCAGTAATGCATAAATTGCATAAATTTTTGTTTTCCATTTGTATTGTATGGTTATCATCAAATAAAAAAAGAACATAATATGCCATAAATGTTGCTTAATTTTCCCATTTGTAATGTGAAAATAAGTAAATAATACATTAATTTGACAAAATTTAAATAAAAAAATACAATCTTAGATAACAGTTACCACAATTTAATCAAAATTAATCTTTTTGAATAAAAAAAAAGTTTCTACTGCCATCAAACAAATGAAAATTTTAGGCTACACAAACCTGTGTGCATTTGCGACATATCCACACAAGAGGCTGATGAAAATTTCTAGGCCTAACCAAGCTGTTAAAAAGAAAAACAGTTAAATTTTCGGAAGTGTGTCAGGCCAAGAACTTTCCAGTACAACCTTATATATATATATATATATATATATATATATATATATATATATTGAATTATCAAAAAAGTTTTAGGATTACAGTTGTCAACATTCTTTAGGAATTTTGTACTTTTTTAATTCTTACCACACTTTACAAATAAAAATTCTTACCTGGTTTGTGTTTTTTTTTCTGATTTCTTGCTTCATCATTTTGTCGTTTCTGACCTTTGTCCTTTGATGGTTGCATGTCAAAAAAGAATTGCTGTGAATCCTATTGAGAGAGAAAGTTTTGAATTACACATACTTTATAGAAATTACTAAATGAAAACAACATCAAAGAGAGACAAAGAAATATAGTTTAGGAGTTTAACTTTTTAAACCAGTTACAAATTTGTTGAAGCAGAAAAAAAACAAATGCTAAAATGTGAAACACACAAATGTTAACCTTTAAAATGATATGATGGGAGGGGAAATATTTTTTTGATAATTGCTTGAGAGATTGTTGACAAGACTAACATAAAGTTTCATAAATTCTTTAAAAACCTATTTTTAAAAATAATTTTAATATATTTGTAATGGTTAGAAATCAATTAAGATATACTCAACTCAATATGTAGTCAAAAAAGTTCACATGAGCAAATTGTAAAAGTTAACAGTCACAGTTGATAATAACCTAAGTTATGCATTCAAGATTGATAAAAAAAATTTTTTAATTTTTTCTTTGTCAGGTTTTATTTAAAAATAATATTCTTTGAATTTTTCAGGCTCTTTTACTTTTGTTTCCTCTGGCCATTAAGCAGAAGCAAGCAACCAAAAAAAAAAACATTTTTGTTCTTAGTGTCATTTCAGAAAAACAAAATAAAACAGTGATAGAGATTGTAATTTGAACTTATTCAGCTTTTAAACTAAATATATCAATGCTGTCACAATAGACAGGAAGTAGCATATCTTGTAAATTATATTCCATTCACCATTTAAATTCAAAATTAAAATGCAAATTAATTAATTCAATTCTTTTTGACATAATATATTCTCAACATTCCTCCCACCTAACAATCATACACTACCAAAATTCACCAAATATCCCCAGTAGAAACACCAACAGACATTATTTAATGAAATTTAAAAACCAAAAACCAAAATAGACACTTGAGATTTTACATTTTATAAGATGATTATATGAATGGATTCTCTAGATAATCATAGTGAGCAATTTGATGAGTGTATGAGCTTCAAAATCATTTTATCATTATCTCTCTATGGCTCAAGAAATTCAGATATTTAATAAAACTACTCCTTACATTGTTTTTGCAATGAGTGAAGGTAAAATATATAAAATTTGAAATAAGCAGAATTATTTAGGATGAATGCAAAGTCTAAATTAGTTATTATATAAAAAAAATATTTAATAAGTTTACTTGGAAAATCATTGTAGATGTCAAACAAGTCATTTTCATAAAATAAATGGGCACAAATCTGAAAAGCCTGTCCAAAAAGTACAAACATTTACTCATCCAAATTGTTTATTATTATTATAGAAATATAACAATACTATAATTATTTGTGTTTGATATGTGTGCTACACACAATAGCTAAATATTAACTTTTTTTCTGGCAAAGTGTATCAACATATTCAGCATAGTATGATACCTTGAGTCCAAACCAGTGAATATGTAACTAGTGAGTTTAAATCACTAACCAAACACTGAATTTGTGTTTCAAAACAATGGAAACTATATTTTAGTCAATAATAACTGGATAAAAATTTAAGCAAAGGTCAAATTGCTACAAATTCTAAAGAAGTATGTATGTATTATAAACGAGAAATTTTTTTCCGAATTTCAAAGCTCAAAATTAAGAGTTTAAACAAAAGTTAGAAAACAATTATTTTAAAATTCCAAAAATAATAAAGTTAAAAAAATCAGAAATCTCCTTTGTTAAGATTCCTGTAGTAATGGTTTGGCATTACCTCCTGCCACGGCAGTGCTATCCAAAGCTAAAGAATCTCATCTGTTCTGCCCTTGAAGGTGGTAATGTACATCTAGATTTAAACATAGAATTTCATAAGCTACCAATCGCTAGATATGAATAAATTTAAGAAACATTTTTCTGGTAGATATGTATTTTTTCATTGTCGAGATCACTTACTGTATCAAGTGTATTTTGCAAGTTCATCTCTGATAGTTTAAAAGGGCATTCAGTGACATCCTGTGGCTGGTGGGTTAAGTCTGCATAGTCTATTGCAGTCAATGGGGTGATACTGAATGCGTACAGATACTGCAAAGAGATTTCAAAATATTCACATTTTATATGTGACTATGCACAAAAAGAGCAAAAAAATATCCATTATTCATTAATGTTTATTTCTAAATAATCAAATCCTCAAATACTGCAGTCAGTAACAAGGAAAACAAATTTAAGAAGTTACCTTTTTTTTGTGAACATTATTCACTTTTGCTAAGCCAATATATCGAGTTACATGATGGGCAGCCTCTTGTAGAACTTGGTGATTTCTGATTTGGAAGAAAAAAAAAGGAACAAAAAGTTGTTGGTGATTTAATTTTTTTTTTTTTTTTTTTTTTACAGCTTATAAACCCTTAGTGGGTTATTTAAAATCAAAACATATTTTGGATTGTAAGAATAATTTTTTTGAAAGTGAATATTACTATTTAAACCATAGCTGGTGGGAGGAAATTGATTCATATCTTTCCCAAGAGTATTCGTGCATAAGTGAATGTAACAAACGTAACTGGAATTCAAACTTGACTTCTTATTCTGACCTGCTATCCATTACATCACCCATACATCCAGAAACAGAATATATATATATATATATATATATATATATATATATATATCTGGGGCAACTCCAAGAGTCAGTCTTGTCAGGCTCAGTCAGAGTGAATCAACATTCAAGTATATCTATTCCTATAAAAATCTTTCATAGTGTGCCCTTTTCATTCATGACTTCCGTTGGATCCCAAATTAATTGTTTTAACTTCATACCTCAAAATATTGACCGCAATTCATTTTGTTGATATTGTTCATAATAAAGAAGAAAGAAAAACAACAAAGAAAGAAAGAAAGTAAAAAAGAATTAAATAAAATTAACATGGCTACTTGGTAGAGATGGTCAGTTTAACTGAAAAACCAAGATTTTTCAGTTTCATCTTCACACTGTGAAATTGCATAGAAAACAACTTTTTATGAAAACGAAATCATTCAGTTTAAGTGTTATCACTACTGAGTAACCATATCCAAAGAAACACGATTGAAAAAGACTTTCAGATGTTAATAAAATTCAATTTTATCAACATTTATACCATTGTAAGAGAAAAAGATTGAACAAAAATATGTTAAAAACATTTAATTGACTAGTTTTAAGAAATAAATGTGAAATGTATTTGTTTACAAAAGAAATGAAGAAGAAAAAAGGAAATACAACAGATATGACACTTGGAAATCATAGAATGTTTTCAAACAGACAAAAAAGGAAAATATGACATGATCTCTAAAATCTATTTGTTTCAGTTTTCAAAAAAAAACTTTTTGTGGTAAAATTAAGTTAACAACAAAATAGCAAGTAAAAATAAAAAATAGTTGCCAGTTTCATCTTAATGTTAAATTTTATGAAGTTGGATTTTTTGTAGGGGTAATTGTTTTCTAGTAAAGCAGTACGTCAATCATGAAATAAAGTTGTAAACAAGAAAAATGAAGGAAGATTTTTTTTTTATAAATAAATTTGTCTTTTTTATCTAGGGAATGCACCTAAATTAGATATTAAGAATAATTAATAGTTCTTAATTTCACTTTTAAAATGTGTATATTTTCTGATATGTGAGTCTCTAGTGCAAACTTGTTTGTTTTCTACAAATAAATTACGTTTCTATCTAGCAAATCCACACCTAAAATTAGAGATTAAAAAAATAAAGTAAGTTTTAAATCCCAGTTTTAAAATGTGTATATTTTCAAAACTACAAGTCATTTTTTTTTTAAACCCAAAGTAAAAATTATTCTTTTTTAGCCACTAGTGTTCAGTGAGTGTTTGTTACTGTTTGGCCTATAAAATTCTTCTTAACAAAGAAAATTAATTGATTTTATTTTTACAAATATCTTCATGGTTTTATCTAGCGAATACCATAATACACTTATGATTATATATTAAAATGATTAAAATAGATTTTAATTTCAGTTTTAAAATGTTCTAAAAAAGAACATAATTTAAGACAATGAGATGAAACATTCTAAACATTGAATAACATTTAGTGCCCCCAATTTTGAAAGAATTAAAACAAAAATTTTTAAAAAATGATTAATTTTTTTTTTTTTTTTTTTAAGTTTACCATAACATAAAATGTACAAAAAGCGGGCAAAAAATGTGCGCAACTTTTGAAAAAAATATTTTAAAACGTTAGTAAAAAATGGAAAATTATCTTTTTACTGTTTTCTTTTATGTGTAATATAAAGAACAATTCCAAGCTTTGTTTTGTTTTAAATCATTTTTCAATGAATGTTTACCTTTGTTCAGATATTTAAATCATTTTTTTGTGCCTTAATATAATACATACTTATTTTCTATGGCAGGCCATAAGTGTAAAGAAAATACAAATTATTATCAGCATTTCTGGATATAAATGGGAGAATTCTTTGCCTCTAAACAAAATAATTAATCGGTTCAAAACAAGTGTCTGTCAGTATCAGAAAGTAGTTTCAATAATTTGAATGTTCTTTTACTACACATTTATTACTATCAGTTGCTTTTTTTTTTGCTCACTTTATAATTTTTGAAGGAATTTGCTTCCAGGGGTCAGAGAAGAAATCAACATCTTCCTGGTTGTAGTTTTAGGTGTTTTCTAATTGAGTGTACAATTTCAAGAATATTGATGAAGAGTGGTCACTTTGATTTTGTAAAACAAAGTAACGTGTAAAATTTAGCTTCAAAAATTTTTTTAAAAAATCATATTTCGCATTTTTGGCTGTTTGAAGAAAAATACCATTTTAACTCACTGTAAAAAAAAAAATAATTCAATGAATAAAAGCACATACAAATTACATATTTAGAAAGATGAATATTTTTAAGATTGGACCAGAAATACACAAAATATTGCAAGTTGAACAGATTAAATATTATCAATTTCAAACGAAATAAGATATCGATTGGAAATGCTATCATTACACAAGAAAATGGCTTCCATAGAAAGCAAAAATACTAAATTAAAAAATGAAAAACCGAATTAAAAACCACTGAATCAAGGAAAAAAATGGAAACCAATACCAAAACATAAATTGCCAAAACGATCAACTCTACTACTCAGGCTGCAGAGTTCTTAACCCTATCAAGCTGGAGACATACTTAATAGGCAATATATTTCTTGCTTTAATTTTATAAATCTAAAAATCTCTAATGATTTGCATGCCCTATTTTTCAAAGAACACAGTTTTATTCCAACTGACTGTTTTCTAAAGTCCATTTTAAATAATTTATTCCATACAGTATAAGGTTTTTTAGCAGAATTTATCAATTGAAAAAGGGCAAATTAAATTTAGCCTGACTTAGCGAAAATCAAAGAAAGTGGTAGCCTTAAGGAGGATTGGGAGTGAAGAGTGTAACTGGTGTAGTATTGAGGAAATATGACATCAGTCAGCAGCACTGATCAATAAATTAAACTAAAAATTCACATGGAGATATATAAACACACTAACACATAGGCATATACATATATATACACACACACACACACACACACACACACTTTAGATAAATATTCATGTTTTACATGCCTGAAAATTATTTTAAAAATAAATGTTTATTTTTATAGAATTATTACAACTAATATAAAATACCAAAATGTGTTTTTTTAATTTCCTGCACAGAGATTTTTAAAAATATATTTTAGTTAATCATTTTAGCATCTAATTTATACCATAATTAATAATACCATAGTTAATCATTTTAGCATCTAATTTATACAATAGTATAGTTTGTTAAAGATTGTAATGAGGCCAACAAACATTGATGAGCTAGAGTCACCACTGGTATATATATATATATATATATATATAAACAAAAATGAATTCAGAGAGACAGGGAGAAAAGTTAAACGAACCAAAAAAAATGTAAAAGAGAAGTGCAACAATTTTTTGCAAAACAAGGAATCAAATGTAATGCAGTTCAGATTAGTTATGTTTCTGCACATAAAATATCTCTTGTAAGAAACCTTAGAAATAAATTCTATGAAAATAGACATATTTATAATGATCCAAGAAGCTTTAATGTTGATCAGAAGTTTTAATTCTGTTTGGCTGAGATAAAAAAGATGAGCATAATCACTTAGAAGTGATTATGCTCATTGGGCAGAGATGGAATAATTTAGAACTAAAGCAACAGACTTTGAAAACTGAAGGAACTATGATAGACTGGTAAGAAGTACTCAATCCAACCAAGAAAGGATACCAAAAGTTTTTCTGTCTGGTCAGATTTTGGGGAATGGTCTAGCCTAACATTACAGGAAACCTCATACTCTTCTTCTATTGCCAATATAACATTTATCAATAATACCAATAATCTTCTAATGATTATTTCTTTTATCAATAATGACAATACTCTTCTTCTACTGCTGATTACTTTTATTGATAATACCAATAATTTTCTTTTACTAATTGTTTCTTTTATCAATAATAACAATACTCTTCTTCTACTGCCAATTACTTTTATCAATAACAATACTCTTCTTCTACTGCCAATTACTTTTATCAATAATAACAATACTCTTCTTCTACTGCCAATTACTTTTATCAATAACAAATTACCAATTTTTATCAATAATAACAATACTCTTTTTCTACTGCCTATTACTTTTATCAATAACAATACTCTTCTTCTACTGCCAATTACTTTTATCAATAACAATACTCTTCTTCTACTGCCAATTACTTTTATCAATAACAATACTCTTCTTCTACTGCCAATTGCCAATTACTCTTCTTTATCAATCAATAACAATACTCTTTTCTACTGCCAATTACTTTTATCAATAACAATACTCTTCTTCTACTGTCAATTATTTTATCAATAACAATACTCTTCTTCTACTGCCAATTACTTTTATCAATAACCAATTACTTTTATCAATAACAATACTCTTCTTCTACTGCCAATTACTTTTATCAATAATAACAATAACAATCTTCTTCTACTGCCAATTACTTTTATCAATAACAATACTCTTCTTCTACTGCCAATTACTTTTATCAATAACAATACTCTTCTTCTACTGCCAATTACTTTTATCAATAACAATACTCTTCTTCTACTGCCAATTACTTTTATCAATAATAACAATACTCTTCTTCTACTGCCAATTACTTTTATCAATAACAATACTCTTCTTCTACTGCCAATTACTTTTATCAATAACAATACTCTTCTTCTACTGCCAATTACTTTTTCAATAACAATATCAATAATCAATAACAATACTCTTCTTCAATTACTTTTATCAATAACAATACTGCCAAATTATCAATAATTTTATCAATATAACAATACTCTTCTTCTACAATACTTTTTCACTGTCAAATTACTTTTATCAATAATAACAATACTCTTCTCCTACTGCCAATTACTTTTATCAATAATAACAATACTCTTCTTCTACTGCCAATTACACTTATCGATAATACCAATAATTTTCTTTCAATGATTGTTTCTTTTATCAATAATAACAAAAGCCTTTTTCTACAGCCGATTACTTTTATCAATAATACCAATAATTTTCTTTTACTAATTGTTTCTTACATTATTTACATTATTCGGACTATTGTCCTCATTTTTGTCGCCATATTTATTAACAACTTTTTTACGGCCACTTTTATCAATAATACCAATAATTTTCTTTTTTCCAGCCTTATTTCAGGTGGTTGGAATGTCGAACTGAACCCTTTATTTCAGTTATGATTTTAATAGAGCTATATACCAAAAAAAAAAAAATAGGAAATTAAAACCATGAGAAATTTCAGAGATTATTCTTAATAGTTTGAACAGAAATTTGTCAACGTTATTTAAATGATGAATGAAAGTTTGTTTATTGGTTTTACTATCCTCAGCCACTTTTGTTCACATAACATTGTTACTGAAAAATAAATTTATTTCAGTCAACATATAAAATTAGAAATTTAAACAAAGTTAAATTCCTTGAAAAATAGTGAATTAAATTTATTCAGAAAGCTCAGGCCAACATTTTCAGTCTGAGAACTAACAAATGTTCTATTCTAATTGTTAATTTTTCAATCATTTCCCCCCTAGCAAGTCAAAAAAACATAAGGGGTTATTGAGTGTGAAAGAATATGAGAGAAAAGAAAAACACTATTAAGGAGAGAGAACAATAAAAGAACTGGAATTAAGAAGATAACAAGTGACATTGCATTTAAATTTTGGAAGATCAAAGCAAGAAGCCAGAAGATTTGAAATACACTTGTCACTTGAGTTACTCAAATTGAGTCTAAATAGCCCAAGTACTGTTGTCACTGCTTCTTGATACATATATATGTGTGTGTGTGTGTGTGTGTGTATATTTTAGATACTTCATTAATGATACTTTAATACCAGTTAACAATTTCTGATTAAGAAAACACAGTGATGCAAGAAAAATAGTGAATGAGAACTGATACATGTAAATATGAATAAAACAATTTACCTGTATGGTTGCCTTTCATAAAAGACACCTTGTAAACCAACAAAATGATATCTTGGACGCAAACACAGAGCAAGCTTGGAGATGAGAGATGAACCACATTTGTTGGAGTCTACAGAATCCTGGTTGCAAAATGACATGCAATTCAATGTTAATGGTTTTAGTTTCCAACCATATTATATTCATTTTCTCAGAAATAATTTTTCATTTATTATGCATTTACAAGCAATCTAAACAAAAAGACTTCAATAAACATGAATCCTTATGGTTTACATATATTTTCTATAGACAAGCATTATATCTATTTGCAGGTGTATAGAGAATTTTTATACAAAAAATAACTAAATAAATTAAAACAGTAGCATTTAACAGTTTACAACTTGTCTAACATATTTCATGTTAAATTTATAAAAATTTGGTGTTCAGATATATATAATACCATTTTTTTAAAAGAGGAAAATTAATCTATCAGGCCTGGATTATATTTTAAAGACTTATTTTCTTATCAATTCCTTTTTGAAAACTTTGCCATATTTGATCCTATAATATAAGGAATTTGGCCTAAATTTTATCTTCTAAAAATTTTCAAAATGATTCTATGTAATTTTGAAATATTTTAATGAAAAATTGTTTGTTTTAATTTTCATAAATTTGAAAATGCACAAAATATGACAATGTAGAAGTTTTGCATAAATTCCCAATTCACCCTTAATTATGACTATTTTAATATTTGATCGTAGAAAATATATTGATGTTCATTGAAAACAATGGGCAGAATTTATCTTTTATATAAATATAATGTATGATCAAAAGGTTTATAAACTGGTTGAATGTCATGGTCTAAGTTGTAACTTAAATGTTAGATGGTATAGATTATTCTTAAACCCAATAGTACATTATTTCTGAGTTAAGAAACTAAAACTGATTTTGGTGAATTTACCTGAATGAAATTAAAGATGTTTTCTTCAGCTTTATTTATTCTTCATTCATTCAATGTAAGAACTATTCCATAAACCAACAATTTATCAGCAGTCATAATGGTTTTAAGAAAGATTTCATCTTGATTAGCCTGTCAAAACAGATGCTTAGCTGAATCCTTTTTGAAGTGGTTCGGCATAGGCAAAAAAGTTGCAATATAACACATTCTGAAATATTTGGTCAAAACTGTCTAAGAAGAAGCCTATGTAAAATGCTGACACCTTCAGCCAGTTGCCTAATTAACAGAAGATAAGTGTCAACCATTGCACTGTAGCAATTACTTTCTGGCAAGAACAAATTTGGTGGACAATTTGAGAAATGGCTATCTTTAATGAACAATCCACTTGTTTTATAACACAATCTTAAGAGCAGCATCTTATTTATATTCTGCATGTGTAAAATAAAAAAATAAATTTAAAATTTTTATTCCTGCTGCTACCATTAATCATAAGAATATGTAACAAGACAATTATTAGTGAAACCAAGATTTCCAGTTATGAAGCCCAAAACATATTTGCAAAAATGTTAGAATAATCTTTTAGAATATCTAATCTTTTAGAATATGTCATCTTTTCCTAGGAAAAGATGACATATTCTAAAAGAATTTCTATGATTCCCTACTGGATCATACAGACTTTATTTAATAGTTTGCTTTGGTCTGGGAAGATAATTAAAGTTATTTATTCGTCCAATGTTTAGATTGCTTGCCGTAATCTATTCTGTTATTTTTTTTTGTGGGAGGGGGACAGTTTTTAATTTATTTATTCATTTGGATTGATTATTTTTACTTGTTTTTGCTTATTTATGCTTATTTTTATTAGTTCTAATGGTTATTTCAGTGGGGGCGATTGTTCTATTATTATTATTGTTGTTATTAGCTAAAAAAAACATTACTACGTTACTCAAAAACTGACAACCAAATAGAGTAAATAAAAATATACAAAATACAAAATAAGTAAATAAATAAAAAGCAAATAAAAATTAATCCAAATAAATAAATGAACAAATCGCTCCTGCTAAAATAACCGTTAGAACCACCAAATTTTATTTACTATGTTAATAAAACATCAAAAACCGAAAAGAATAAATACAAAATGAAAATGAAAAACAAGTAAAGTAAATTAACCCAAACAAATAAATAAATAAATAGACAAACAAGCCACTCCCTCAAAAATAACTGCTAGAATAGAATACCCACAATGCACCACTGACCCATATATATAAATAGTTGAGGAAAAATCCAACATTCACGTCCTGACAATTGTGTCTAGCATGAAACAGCCTGTCGCCTCTGAGTGTTGACTTCAAAATATATATATATATATATATATATATATATATAAATAAATATATAAAGAGAGAGAACACACAGTCAGATAACTAAAGTTCAAAATAATAATAAAAAAGAAACAAAGTTAATATTTAAAGCTGTTGAAAAATGTACAGTAATGATAATTCAACTGGCCCAATAAAAACATTCTTTCAGGTTATCTCAATTGGACAGAAACCTTTGTAGAGATTTGTGACATAGCCTGAGAATGCTAAGTAGTAGCCAAGAAAAATCTTAGCATACAACAGAGAGCACAGTTCTTTACTAAGCATTATTTTCATCTTTTCATCATTTTTCAAATATTGATATATATTGAATGAATTGACTGTCAAGAATCAAAGTTCCTACTTTAAAATTTTGACAACCTTCAATAGATTACATGTGGATACATTAAAAAGCAATTATAATGTTCAAAACCTTAAAATTCTTACTAAATTTTGTATATCAATCGGGAAAATTTAGCAAATGTTCAAGAAGTTTTGAAAAATGAATACCTTGGATCAATTTTATTAATGTTGCTAAATCAAATTAAAAATTATAATTGAATTTTGAATAAATATACCATTAGCTGTTTTACATGCTTTTGCATTAAATGAATTATTCAAATTGATACTTTTATAAATTCAAAAACTTTGATATTGAAGTTTTAAAATCAAAGATACACTGATATAAAAATGCAAAAAAAATGTGACATACTGACCGCTCCAGAGGCATATTTTTCTATTCCCTTTGCCCATTGTGATGTAATGAGGATGTCTACTCCTTTAAACTGTTGGATTCTAGTTGACGACTCAATCAGTTCATTGACATCTTTTTGGCTGAAACTAATCTGATCACAAGTGGCATTTTCAGTCCCACTTAGATAAGCAATTTGAAGACCTGAACTGCCAGAGTACATGCCTCGTCTCCCTGGAAAGAAGAAAAATATCAAGCAACAAGTAAAAAAAAACAACGAGGCAAAGCATGATAATGATGATAACTAAGTAAGGGAGATAACAAAAAAAATGAAACGAATACTGCTGATGAAGGGAGACAACAATAATCACGAAGTTAAGAAGAGAGAAGGAAAGAAAAAATAAAAAGAATAGTTAGGATAATAAGGATGAGTAAAAACAGATAGACAAAATTGATGCAATCTATCATAATGATTGATTGATCGATTGTGTTTAACGGCTCCTCAACCTCTTGTGAATCATTAAGAGCCAAATTGATTGTGTTGTAAACACATTTTATAGTTGGACAAGAATGGATGAGAGTAAGTTTTATAGTTTTTCAAATACAGTTGAAGGAGAATTTTATAGTTTGTTAGGTATGGTTGAAGGAAAATTTTTCCCAAGTATGGTAGAGAAGTTTTATTGTACATCAGGTATGCTTGAAAACAAGTTTTATTGTTTGTCAAGAATGATTGAGGGTAAGTTTTTTGTTTGTGTAAACACTTATAAACAATTTTTTTATTATTTTTATATTTTATTGTAAAGTTCAATCTTTTTGATAAATTTCAGTATGTTATCTGGTTTAAGATTTACAAAAAGTTTTCTAAGCTTGTTCGTTCTTTAATACTTGTTTTGGATTTCCCAGAAGCTGCAACATTCCTACAGTATGTGCCTGACCATATACGACTCCTGATACACATATTGGTAGGATTTCATTTCTCTGTAAATGCCTGTGAGTAACACATGTATGTCCAATATGGAATCTGGCAAGAACCACCTCCTCTCTTCTTATCTTTTGATAGCCAGAGAAACATTCACTTATGATTGGCTGAATATTGTGTAGTATATTATTAGGGCAGTTATTCCATACTGTTGCCATTTTTTTAATCTCCAAACAACCATTATCAGTCAGTTATGTGCCATGTGTGATACACGCTTAGGTGATCATGTATCTTTCGATACATGACTGACGAGGCAGATTTTTTCCTGCAGTAGGTTGCCATTTCTTTCTGTGGTAGACCTGTTGCCATCCAAGGCTAGAGAACCCAGTCTGTCCTGCTATTTATAGGGGGGGGGAGAAGAAGAGGATTCATACCTTTCCCAAGGGTATTAGCACGACTGGAATTCAAACTTGGCTCTCTGATTCCTCAATTCCGAGCCACTATCCATTACTCCATCTTATCAATGGTTTGTCGGAGATTTGTCTGACAAATGAAGTCTAAGTAACTTTTTACTTCTAAGTAACTTTTTACCCTTTACCATCCCTCTTTGTACCTGTTCTGCCATTCATTCACATGAACTTATCAAGATTTAGCACTCCGTATGTAGGTAACTGCATTTGTCAGACAAAATGTTTGTACAACAATTGCATGTAACTCTGATCATCAGACTATAGTGTGATTGAATTTTGCACTAGTGTTGTCATATCCTACAATGGCAACAGGAAAATGACTATCTGAAAATTGAAGATGATGCTACTGCAGTTGTCTGGACACTTATATCCAATATCTCATGAATATTGCAGAGTGCTAAATGTTAAGTAGGTTACTTGCTATTTCCATTTACTTCTCTTACCTTCAATATGTCCTGTAAGTGTTAAATTTTCTAGGCCCTCTTTCCTCATGATGTGTCCCAGAAATTTTAACTCTTTCTGATTGTAGCAACCATAGCAGTACACAAATCAAAAGAATCTCACTATATTTCAAATAATCTCACAGAATACGAACATACCAAGATATGTAATATTGTGGCATAATTCTGCTCCTTCTTTATCCTGATAGAATGAACAGTGACTCTCTTGATTGGCTCCAAGAATCAGCACAGAGATTGGCACTATGAAAAGAGAAAAAAATCAAGCAGCTCAGGACCCATTTTTAACATTTAACTACCAAACTACTTTTGATCTCCTCCGCAATCACCATCACAATGATCACAGTTACAATAAGTTTGTCTTTTTAACTCACCCCCGAAGATGATCTCAGAGGAGATCGAAAGTACTTGGATAGGAAAAAATTATGGTGCTTTCCTTGATGAATTTCATCTTAACATCAAGAAACTGATTAGAGAACTAGAAAGGATTATTATTATAAAAATAAATAGCCATAATATGTCTATATTATTCAGTAAAACATGTTTGAATGAAGATATGCCGCCTATACATATATATATATATATATATATATAAGGAAAAAGAGATTATAGTTTCACTTTAGGCAGAAAATTAAAAGATGGCAAAAAACAGTCATTATTTTCACAGTGTATTTGTGATTACAAAACAATTTTTTTTTTCCATTTCAACAGAATTTTCAAAAAATCTTAATTCATTTTATTATCATTTATAAGTCATCATAATATGAGGCAAGATAGTTTAGAAGAGTGGAGACCAAAAAATTTAGGACAATGGGAGTGGTGTCACTCAGGTTGAAAAATACATTGCTCCTACCAATAACTAAATCTATTCTAAAAATGAATCAGTTCTGTCTATTTCTCAAAATTGCCTTTCATGCATTTGATTTCTTGTTGAAAATTAAACTCCTCTACAATCCCAAAGTTTGATATCAATTAATCTGATCTAGAAGAAAATGAAACTTCATTGCACTGGATTACATTAATTTATAGTAGCAAAGTTCAAGGGAAGCAATTACATGATGTTCTATGTACCAGTCATAGAAAAAACAAGATAAATTTACATTGAAGTATCATTGAACTGAAGTTAAAGGATTTAAACATTCAACAAAACGAAAAACAATTCTTACCCTTTAATTCTTTTTGTACATATTTATTCCATTCTTCATTGTTTTCTCCAAAGAAATCACCAACACAGAGTAAAAGCTGAAGAATAAAGAATTATTAAAAAAAAAATTTTAAAAAATAAGGTAACCTGTTTCTTTTTTCTTTTATCCAAAATCATTTGATATGTAAGAGAAACTTGCATAAAATGCTTGATGTGAAAAGGTGAAATGTCAGCAAATTATATTACTTGAAAAGATATCAGGGGTAAATAATGTTGGCTATTCTCCAATTCTATTGATGTGTAAGGATATCAAAGGCAGATTAAAGCAGGGCTGTGGAGTCAGATCAGAAGCAATTAAGGAGTCACTGGAGTTGGAGTTGGTAAAACTATACAACTTTGACTCCAGTTGAATTTACACTTTATGTAAAAAGTCTTATAGAATTTTAATTTTTATTGTTATTTCTTCTACTGTATATTTACTATTTCCTCATCTCACCTTCTTTTTTTTAAAGTCATTTTATTTTTTTGTAGTCATTTTGTATTTGCAAATTTATATATGTAAAAAAAATCTTACATTTATTTTTGTTATGTCTTTTACATCCTGTAAAAGATTATATTTCAACTTCTGTTATAAAGTAGTTTTATTTTTGTTCTGTACTTATTTCTTATTAGCAAAGATATATATATATGTAAAATGTCTCACATTTTTATTTTGATTGTTATTTCTTCTATATCTTTTCATATATAAATCCCTAAAAGATATATAACTCTGTTATTATTTTGAATAGAACTTTAATCAGAAAACCTTTAAAAAAAGAACTACAGAACAATAAAGGGAGAGAAGTCAGTTTTAATGAACAAAGAGTAAACAATTATAATTAGATATCTTTGGCATAAATGTATGATATTCAGTTTAAATTCTTTGTAATTGTGTAACAGTGAATAGGGTCTTAGCCAATTGTCAACATGGGTCTGGGACAGGGAGAGCTATATAACACCAATATTTTTCTCAGTTGAGAGGAGCACTCTGTTAACTTATGGTTACATCAAGCATTTTAAATGTAAAATGATAAGACCTAGTTACTAATCTAGTACTACACTTAAATTCATAAAGTCTAGGTACTATAGCAAAAAGTTCATCAGAACAATTATCATGAAAATATTTATAGTTACAGGGAAGCTATATTACAGTGCTGGGAAAATGATTGAAGCTGTGATGCCAGGTCAGGACCAACAACATTGCAGATTCTTCTTTGGATTTTATCAAGAATCTCTAAATCTTTAGCAGAAGCACCAGACCAGATGTGGCAGCAATCTCCAAAGCAAGAACAAATGGCAGACTTATAAATGTGTAAGATAGATACTGGTAAGAAAAATTGTTTAGCATAACACAGTGAACCAACTTTCCTAGCAGCGAACCTAGCAATTGATTCAATTATTCCACTTGATGTCAGTGGAAAATGTTAGCCCAAGAAGGCACAATGAGTTACTCTCCTGGAGGTTAGCATCAGCCATGTTGATGGAAGGCAAATAGGTTTCTCTCAGATGATTAAGAGACAGGAGTTTAATTTTGAAGGATTTAAAATTAACAAGACATTTCTTACCCCCAGTTAACGACAAGATTGTAGGTCATTTTTGAGATCAGCTGACAATTTGACCTTATAGGACCAATCAGACTTACTATTAAGAGAGGAATAAATAGTTTTGTCATCAGCATAAATACTAAGTTGAGAACTGATACTATCAGGAAAGTCATTTATGAAAATTAAGAACAAAGTAGGTCCAAAGATAGAGTCCTGGGGTACGCCTGCATTAATGCAAAAGGATCTAGAAAGTGTGGCTGTTCAAGATAACTTTCAGTTGTTTTATATAGTGGTATTATTCACCTATCAATATTGAGTATATATAAACAATACAAAATGTAAAGAAAAACACCACTACATAATCAATATTTGATTAAGAGACAAGAAAATGCAGTTGATTTTTTTTAAATTTTAGAATTTATTTTTTTAATTCTCAGAACATAAAAATAACAATGGCTTCTTTTTATTAGCAAAAAATAAACAAGGACTTTTACGTTTTGAAGTAGTTTGTATCATATATTTGTATAAAGGGTATACCTTTTAAATGATTGCAAATATTTGTTACAAATATTGAAGGTACTTTATTTACAAATTACAGAGGAAATTATTTTGCAAATAAAATATTCCATTAATTTTTTACAAAAAAGAAAGAATTACTTACATCAAATGGCCCATTCTTTTTCTCAATGTTTGAAACCCTTGAGAACAAAGCTTTAAAATTTCCTTCAACATCTCCACTCACCAATCTAGACAAAACAGAAAACATATCATTCTTATCAATTATCTCAATTTATCAAAAGGTCTGCCATAACTCATCTTTGTCAAATTACACAAGAAATGTAAACAAGTCACTTGAGCAATTCCAATTTATTTAGCAAATGTCACATTTGCTCAAGATGATATGAAGATGATCAAACTCACTGTGAATGGCTTGTGTAATCAGTCTGCTTTGCAGTGAGTAGATGAAACTTGACAATAAAAAATTATTAAATTTAGTAACTAACTCATGTTAAAAAGAAAAATGATTCTGTGAATGTTTTATGCTTTTAAGGATGTATAAAAGTAAAAAGTACCATTATTTTTTTCTCAAAATGTCTTATTACTTGTACTCTCATTTATTTCATTCACCACTAAAATAAACCTGCAATATTGTTCCTATAAAAGGTTTCATCAAATGATGATCAAGTCAGATGATTCCTAAATATTATTACCACTAACTCAAGGTATCCCATCAGTATAGCAAAATTTACCAACCCTACAGACCTAATTACAACTGTGTACGTAATAAGTTTTATATCCATTGGATACTTCACATTTGTAGTTTTGTGGCATACTAAGCTAAATACCACTTGTTGATGGTTGACAGCAACAGCTGAGTACTAGTGATATATTTCATATTTATATGACTGTTACAACTAAATAGATGCAGTTTATGTCCAATTTTGGAGGATTTTGCACTCTGATTTTCAGTTTGTTAACAGATGTAAAAACTGTAACAACCAATCTTAAAAATGTTAACAAATGAGTTAAATTTGCCGAGGATGGTGCCAAGGTTCTTTCCTACTAGAGGTATAGGCTATCAGTATTTGGTTTATGTCTCAGCCCTGATATTTAAGTGTTGGTTCATGAAAATACTTTACTATACAAGAACCTAAACCTATATTAAAAACTGAAAACTATTCCATTTTGAGGTTTAGAAATTATAGCCAACCCAGATATAAAAAAATGAACTAAAAAATATATGTTTCAAGTTAGCAATAAAATTATGATTGATTTTGGTAATTATTTGTTATTTCTTCACATTTACACATAAAGGATGAAAGCGTTCTTATCACCCATCCTGCTACAAGATAACTGAAATTGAGTCAGTGGTTCGGGCACTGAAATACGCTTTCACCATCTGGACTCTTAAAAGATGCCAAATTTAACATCTGGACATTTAAAGCAAGTTTTAGTAGCCAAACATTGAAATTTAATACATTTATATAGTACAATGTTGAACAGTGAAATTTTTTATATTCCTTACCAAATAATTTTTCTCCATAAATAAATTTTTTGTAATATTTTTACAATCTTAGTGCTTTTATTAAATCCAGTATTCATACAGCTTTTGAGTTTCATGGAGTTCATTAAAAAATTCAGAATATGATTGTATGTTTTACAAGTATAGGTATTTACAGTTCAGAAGTATGCTTTTTGTAATATTTTATTAAATTTTCTGGTACAGTTGGTTTTATCATTTAAAATGATTTTTACATACCAAACATTTCTAACATTAAACATTAGTTTCTTGAATGAGACTAATATCATGAACCTTTATTTGGATATGAAAGATAATGTACTTGAAATCAAATGCCATATAATTTATTCTTACTTATATTTTGAAAAATGAAATATAATTCAACATTTGTAAGCAATAAATCTCAGAATTTTAAAACAATAAGTGAAATAAAAAGATCAGACTAGCTGCACTGGAAATAAAACAAAAAATACTTAAAATACAATTTATTTTGATTATAAATTTAAAATTAAATTTTCTATTAACAAGCAAGCAGAAACAAAAAAATTGCTTTATTTTCATCTGACTTTTGGCAACATTTTCTTTAAACAAAAATTTCCTTCGTATAGGATGGGAATAATTCTCAGCTTGAACCACTTTGGTTCCACAGCTTCTTGCAACATTTCCATGATTACACAGGTATGTGAATGATGTACAAAATTGTCTTGGCAATATATTCACTTACATACAAATACCCTTGGGAAAGGTAGGAAACCACCACTTCTCCCACCACAGTTATGGGCTAACAATTAGTAGGACTAAAAATATTTTCTTGCTTTAAATACCCTGCAAAACGTTGATAAGCTGTAACAAAACAAATCACTCAATCAATCTTGGTAAGTGATATCCTGGTGTTTATGATTGTAGTTGGTTAGGTTGTTGCAGTGAATAATGTGTCACTAATAAGTACTATTCTTTTCTTCAGAGCTAATTAATGTTGCTGGTAATTGTCTCTTATGAATCAGCAAATGATTCTATTCTACATCTTACTAATAACACCCATTACTGAAATGACAAATGAAATATATGACAGCAGTAAAATACTGGACAACTTAATAGATCTACCTTCATAGTGATACCAATGAAGACAGGTGCAAATGAATGTGAACACCATTGGATAATCAGCTTAATGAGCCACATAACTAAGCATATAATGAATAAAGTTGCAGCAGCAGAATTAGACCAGAGGTAGGACAGTGTGGTGTAGCAGACCAAGGGTGTAGATGTAAAGAAAACATGTTTGTTTATATTTCCTGCTAAATGAGGGTCCAGCTACAATAGAATGTTGGACTTGGATTAAGTCCAACTGAAGATAAGGAAGACAAACAAATAAGACCAATATATACATAAACAAATATATGTATTAAACAAAACATCTACAAAGCACATAGACAATTAACACTGTGGTTGTGTGAGCATATATATGTGTGTGTGAACGTTCATACTTTGGAGAAGTTTGTAAGAGTTTGTACATATGTGAATGCGTATATGTTGGTATGGAATGTTCTTTGTCTGACCTCAAGGTCAAGACAAGAGTTCTTGAAGACTACATCTTGGCTGAGTAAGAAGAGAACAGAAAAGAGAAAGAAAGGCAAACTCGTGTTTGTTTATATAGATTGCGTATTCACTTGACAGGCTCAGAGCACTTTGGCAGGAAACTTGACTTAGTCACGCATTGGAAAAATATTTTACGTGGGTGAATTGCAATGCACACTAGTGTGTTTATCCAATGAATGACTGTTATTGAAGATTTGAATTTGTAAGGGTGTATGTGTGTGTGTGTGTGATGATGATGATCAACACAGTGGCTTTATTCAACACACTGGAACAAGAAATGCCATCTTTATGATCTAAATGCTATCATGTGTGCAATACAAATTTAGAAAGATCTATAAATGTTTCATAGATTACACAAACAAAAGCATTTCATATGGTACAGCACAAAGAACTATGTGAAATACTAGAAAAGCTTGATTTACATGGGAAAGATATTCAAGCAATTTGTAATCTGTATTTGGAACAAACCACATGCATGCAGATAGAGAACAAGTTCAGTGAATACACAAAAATAGAAAGAGGAGTGATAAGAATGAATTTTCTCATCAGATTTATTAAACCTATAAAACTAGTTGATCCCCCCCAAAAAAAAGACCTACCAGATGAATACCATGAAAAGAACACAATCTTAACAACAAAAGATACCCCAAAAAATGATACTGTGTTAACAGCAGACTGAGAAGAAACACTGAAAGAATTCTTAGATGTGGTAGTAAAAGGAAAGCAACAACAAAAGGACTAACAGAATGTTTGGTTGCCAGCAAAAGAGACAGCCCAACATGTGAGCTTTGTATTGGGAACGGCAAACAAACTCAAGCGGATACAGAAATTTAATTGAGTAGTTTCATAACAGATAACAGAAAATGTGACACAGAAATTTGAAAGTGCATAAGAAAGAGGTCTCCCAGAAAACAAGTATAAAAGATAGAAAAATGTCATTAGAAACAAAGAGTGCTAAACTGCTATGTAATCTCCTATAGGGTAATGAATGAGAATGCTGAACATGCTTCTTACAGATGAAGAAGAGACTTGAAGCAACAGAGATGCGGTTCAGTCAAAGAATGCTAAGAATTCTATGGACAGGACATGTGAGTAAAGACGAAGTATTAACTTATGCTTACAGTCAGAGTTTAAAAAATAATTTCTGAGACGCATAAATGAGGAAAGAAGGCTTGCAGAATTTACAATTCACAGAATATAGACCACAAGGGAAAAGAGTGCATAACCTAGTTAATGAGATGACAGAAGAGGACAGGTCAAGTTCAGAGCAAGAAAAGTGAGAAAGCTGTGGAGATCCATGATTGCCTACATCCTGAAGGGATATGGCAATAATATCTTTTTATTCGTGCCATAACCTAAAGGTTCCCTTTCCTTATCTGTACTTTAGCATTTCTAACATCTTACATAATTTCACAGTCTCATTTTTTAATTGTTTTTAGTTTAGTGTTTACTTAGTGTTTCTGTATTTTATGCTCGAAGAGTGACAGAATTTCTATTTACTGTGAGGTACTAATCGTGTACAGTAGAGTGTAGGATTCACAAGAAATTAATGTTTGGATTTTAACTTAAACCAAGATAAAAACGAGTCTTTCAAAAACTGTCAATAAATATTACATTAAATACGATGCGTAAACAATCAATTCGAATTAAAATACAAAATGAAATTGTACTTGGCGCCTATTTTGAGACGAAAACAAACGTAATTTTTAAAATGAATTTAAAGAACCGCTCTGCTCGAAAAATATATAATAATAATCTGAATGACTTACATCTTTAAGGATTTTGCCGACATAATTAGAATTTTTAATCGACGTGTTTTTTCAAAACGTAAATAAAACAAACTGATTTAGAAGACGTTGTGATTGAACCAACCATTGTTAAGCACCGGACTAAATGTGTAAAAATATATTTGTTTCTATTAATAAATGAAATGAACAAAAATGATTTTTTAAGTAATTTCCATTGTTTAAATATCTGAAAATAATTTATATAGTTTCACTTGTGCTTTGCTTTTCTTTTCTATAGCTTTTAATTATTTAGCAAATCAGGTTGTGTGTAATACCGAGCTGCATGCTTAATCGGTTGCTTAGCAACTTTAAAATAATTATATCAGCTAGCAAAAAAGTTTCTATTTATTTTGATTCAGGCTGTTTTTAAAACAGATTCCCACTCGAAATGACTGATGGTTACGGTTCTATCTCATTCTGGGGCTACAGCCCTAGTTTAGACTTACTGCAAACAGGTAAATAAATTTATGTGTATGTGGAGAGGTGCTGCTTTTTTTATTGTTTTTTTTTTTACTCTTCTGAGGTTATGAAAACAATATGGGCTTTAAAGTTGTGTCAATAAGATAAACTTCGTAAATCTATTGCAATTATTGCTTGTGTTTGTAATAAAATATTATTTGTTTTCTCAATTTCTGTAATTTACTAAAAAATATTTTCAACATTATGAATTAACTGTAAAATAAGTATTTAATAATTTTGTGAAAAGTTTTTGAAAAGTGAAATTTGAAATTAGGGAAATATAAAATTCTTTGAGAAGTTAATATTTTATTTTAAAATGAGACAAAAAATTAGTGCTTGTGTATGACATAAAGTAAACAAAAATATTCATAAAAGACCAGATGTATATATGATGTTTTTAATCAAGTGAGGCAATAAAGCAATTAAGATGCAAGGGTTACTGAGTGTGAAAGAATATGAGAAAAAAACACTATTAAGGAGAGAGAACAATAAAAGAACAGGATTTAAGAAAACAGAAGATACCGATTGGCATTGCATTTAAATTTTTGAAGATCAAAGTTTAGTGGGAAGCTCAAAGAGAGTTCCATAAGTCAGAAGTGTGAAAAAAGAAATTGCTAGCATAGTGTAGCATCCTGCTACCACTTCCTTATCAATGTCTAATTTTGTACATTTTTGTGCAAAAAGGTGGATCAGAGAGCCTGCTCAGCTTAGTAAATATTTTCAGGAGATATCAGCTTCTAATTGGTCAATAAACACACAAATGGGCATTGCAATCCACCCACATACAAATATTTTTCCAGCACGTGACCAAGTCAAGTTTCCCACCAATTTGCTGTGATCCTGTCATGTGATTACATTATCTATAAATAGCAGACACGAGTTCGCACATTCTCTTTTACTCTTCCAAATTCCTGTGAAGATGTGATCTTAAGGATTCTCGTCTAGACCATAAGTGGTCAGATGTTAAAAGCATATTCACGTATGCATGTACATATAAACTTTCCCAACCTACATTACAAATATAGAGAACATTTCAAAACATGCAAGAAGAACTTTCCTCTCTGAAATATTCTTCTAAAAATACAGTTTATTCAGGATTTCTCAGCTTTATAATTAATTCAACTTTTGTGAGTTCAGATAAAAATATTCACAGTCTAAGAGACATAACTCCAACAGATCTTTAACTTCTACACATGTACATCAACACACAAATAAATACAAATGTTATGTTTTTAAAACCATTTTGTTTCTTCTTGTATTTCATGTCATGTGATATTTTATGTTTAATATAAATTGTGTGGTCATGTTATTCATGCAGCCGTAAACAAACATCTATCCTTATCAACAAACAGACATCTACAATTGTCCATTCTTATTACCATACCACTACATATGGTAACCCCGACGTTTGACATAGGGTGAGAAAAACAAATAGACCACTACAATAGAACTTATGGTTGCATCTAGCCAATTCAACTGTAAAATGATGATACCTTGCTATCAATTTAGTACTGCACCTAAATTCATAAAATCTAGATACCATAGAGTAAAGTTCATCAGAACAATTATCATTTAGAACAATTATGAAAAGTATTACGGCAGTGGGAAATTGACTGAAGCTGAGATGCCAAGTCAAGACCAATAATATTGCAGATCCTGCTTTGGATTTTATAAAAAAAATCTCTAAATATATAGTAGAAGCACCAGACCAAATATGGCAGAAATATTCAAAGTATGGACAAATGTTAGACTTATAAATAAATAAGATATATTCTGGGAAGAAAATTTGTCTAGCATGACACAGTAAAGTAACTTTCCTAGCAGCAGACCTAGTAATTGATTCAACATAATCTTTCCACTTCATGTCAGTGGAAAACATTAGTCCATTGAGAGCTGCATATGGATCAATGAGAACTAGTTCCCATTTGCTGCTTGCTTCCACCAGGGTTGTGTAGCTGCACCCAATTTATTCAACAGCATCATTGACCACTTCATAAATGTAGTGTGCAACTGCTTCCCTGGTGTACGACTTGAAGTCTACAACCTAACCAACCTAGACTATGCTGATAACACAATGCTCACTAACTGAAGGAGGCACTCTGCATTTTCAACATGGAGGTGACAAGACTTGGGTTGTATATCAACTGGTCAAAACCAAGCTGATGCACATAAGAGATGGCCCGCAATCCTCCGCCATCACCATTGGCAATGAATCTGTTGAGTTCATCGCATCTTTTGTTTACCTGGGCTGAGAAGTTTCCAACACCAGCAACCTCCTCAAGGAGATCAACAGAAGGCATAGGCTAGTTGCAGGTGTCATAAGAGGCTTCTGGAGACCATTATGGTGGTTTCACAACATTTCCTGATGCACCAAGTTACATGTCTACAATGCCACTATCCTCTCCATATTCTGTGTTACTATATGGCACTGAGATATGGGCTCTCAGCAAGACCTTTGCCTCCTGCATCCACAGCTTCAAGTCCCACCTCTTCATTAAAGAGGTGCAGTTGGTTCAATCTTTTGTCCAATGAGGAGCTTCACCAGAGGACTGATCACCCAAGCATCTTCTGCACCATCACTCAGTGCCATGTTTGTTGGGTTGGCCACATCCTGCAACAACCATTCTACCGGAATTCCAGTAGAACACATATTCACTGGAAGGACATTGTCTTCAAGGACATCCAGCATATCAATCTGGCACTGAAGGCTGTTCTAATGCTCTGCCATAATTTTTATGGGCTCAAGGTAGGTAGGTAGGTAGGTAGGTAGGTAGAGATATATTGAGAGTTAAGGAATGATGCTAAAAAGTTATACAGAAATATATTTAATAAATTCACTAAGAATTGTATAATTTGTAATTGTATATCAATAAAAATCTCTCTTTTACACACACACACACACACACACACACACACACACACACACACACACACACACATATATATATATATATATATATATATATATATATATATTTGTTAAATTTTGGATATTTCAGAACATGAAGAGAAAGTTTTAACTATGAATATAAGAGATGATTCAGATAAACCTGGTAAGTAGTTTTCTTTCTTTCTCTCTTGTAATATAAAATCTTCACTGATACATATCAAGTTTTATCTTAATTTTTTTTTTATCTAAAAAATATATTACCTCTTATCTGATAATTTTTCCTCTTCAATGTTTCATATTTTTTGTTTTACAAATTATGAGAATGTAATATAGGAATCTTGAAAACAAGACATTTTCAAGATTCCTATATTTTTTTGTCAGTGAGTGGAAGATTCTTTTTACATATATCTTTTTTCTAAAAATCATAGCCCCAGAAATAAAATGAGATAATTTCTGCAGCAAAAATATATACTGTATACAACCTGAAAAAAAAAACCCTAAATATACAGACATCTAGATTTCAATGATAAAGCTATAATGCTGTTCAGGACTGGATTAAGACCCATAGGGACCCTAAGCACTTTTGGTGCTTCCATACATGTGCAAATTATGCTAGCATGGAGACATCAGCCACAAACATAAATCATGGAAATTCCAGCTAGAAATAAATATAGAAGCAACTGAAGGCACATATGACCATCGAGAGAGGCTAATCATTAGTTCCAACCCAGAACAATGCTATTGCCTTGGGAATCACAGCTAGAAAGAATCAATCACAGCTATGTCAAATGAGCCATCACCAGATTTTAACAGACCTTTGACCCGAAGTGGTTGTGTCATCAACAAACCAGCATGTTACAGAATCACATAAGCATATGACAAGAATAATGCCAAACAAACATGGGGGTAGTCTACCACTTGGATTGTTCACAAAAATGAAATCCCATGAAGTTAATTAGTAATACTAACTTATTCAAAAGGGGAGATGTATTGAGTAAATACAAATCTCATTATCCCCCTTAGCCCATTCCTTTATTAACCAGTCACAGCAAAGATTTACTGTCATCAGTTGTCTCCCCATTCATAATGGCACCTGGCAGATTAAAATGTTAATTGAGTTCAACTTATTCCTTTATATCTGTACAATGATGACATGACAATTTCTGTGGTGCTCACTTCCCTTGCTGCTCTAAGCATATGCTTATGTTGATTAATGGTTAATCCAGCTCTGATGTTGTTGCATAAAAACATATATACATACAATATATATATATATATATATATATATATATATATATATATATATATATATAATAAAAAAATCTAAAATCCTTGCTAGCAAGGAGAAAGGGTGTTTTCTCTGTTTCCAAAAGCCATAAAATACTATGTTTAACTCAGAAATAGCTAAAGTTTAACGCCAGTTGTTGCCACAAATCTTGCATAATTGATACTACCAGAAGTTCAGGATAGATTTATTCTTGTTCTAAAATGTAACAAGATACCCAAATATTTTGTATCCAAAATCAAAAATCTGTTGTATAAAAAAGTTACTTAACAATGTTCTGAAATGAAAAAAAAATCGAAAAAAAATCACCTACACTTAGGATAAACCAGTTACGAAGTATCACACTATTCTGCCTTCTTTTCTTAATTGTAAAACATGATATTTAAAATAGCATTCATCATTTATTTCTTTAATGTCTATGCAGATTTGTTGTAAACTCTAAGACTGGATTAATTAGTTTTTATTTGTGTATTTTAAAGATATTGAATATTGCTTGTAAATATTCACTTGTTTTTCTTCTCTATTTCATGGGAAAAAAAGAACAGTTACTATATTTCAGTCAGCAGCATCTATAGGTTCTTTTTTAAAGCTTGAAAAAGCTTTCTTGCACAAAACTTTACTAATGCTAAAATCAAAATATTCCTCTATTTTTTTATTCTATTTGTCAAGTTTTTTCATTTGTACTGTTATCTACAGATAAAAACAAAATAATAATGAAGATGTTGAGAATTAGATTTGCTTCTCACATCTTACTGATTTCTTACTCATTTGCAGGTCAGTGTTAACTTGACTCTTTTGGTCCTAGCTAGAATTAAACTCACCATCCTTGGCTAACACATTTTTGAAGATATTAGACTCCTCAGCTTAACGAATGTGTTCTAAGCTTGTCTCCCTTTCAGCCTAAATTAGATATTTTAAGTTTATTGAAATTTCTTCCCAAGGTGAAAATTTCCTATTGTTTGGCACTTCAAGGTGGTGTAATGGTTAGCACACATGTTTTGCTAGAACCCTCACGGCTTAGTAGTTCAATCCTCAATGGTGCCACATCTAAGCTACACTTAGAAAATTATGGGGGCACCTTGGCGTGGTGTAATGGTTAGCAAGCTTGTCTTGCTAGAACAATTATGACTGAGTAGTGAGTTTGATCCTCACTGGGTGCCCCATGCATTCGGCCTTGAGCCAAGAAAATCTTAGCAGTTAGGGCTAGGTTAAAAAGAATGTCTTCTGAGTCAATGAACATGGCTGCTGAATTGCATGCAGAGAAAGCTTGAAAGGCATCCAGTCGACATATCGCAAACATCACATTGCTGGACAAGTGTACAATGTGAGGTTTTCCAAGATTACTTTCAGGAGCTGGTCTGAAGTGATGCTCGTGTGAGGAGGAGGCTGGCTATTTACCCTAAGGCAAGGGCTCCTCCTATCACAAATGTCAGCTTGCACTCAAGTACCTCTTGATGGCCTCTCTAATGTCCAGCCATTATCCCATAAGGCATTATATCAGATGTTAGTTGGGGTGGGGGCATTCATGATGATTTGATAGGCGATCTCAGTTTGATGAAGCAGGAGGATTGTTCCATATGTCCTATATTGGCATCTGGGTTGAAATGTCTCACTGAAGCATCACTTACCTAGCTGGTGATTTTAGGGGCCCTCTGGATTGGCAAAAAACTTTGTTTGGTGGGTTTGGTAAAGTCTTCAAACTGCGTTCACTGCAGTGGGGAGGTGGAGATCCTAGGTCACGCCTTCTTTCATTGCAGGGTCGCAGGTCTGTTGTGCAAGTTTGTTGAAGACATCATGGTTCATATGCTGCACGCAAAGTTCTTTGTCCTCGAGGCCAGCTCCGTTTGTAGTAATATCATACCACTGTTGACTAAGGCTGAGCACTATGTGTTCTTTTTCTTACTGGATGTTATGCAAGTCATGATATGGACAATGTGGCAGAAGGAATTCCATGAGAGATGTCAGCTATCTGGTAGATACCAGATGACTTTTGGTTTTGGGGTGTGATTTTTCATATTTGTTGTTGTGTTTGTGTGAGGGTGTGTTTCTGTGAGTGTCAGGTCATCTGAGTGATTTTTTTCATTATTTAAGTTCTGCATTATTTTCATCTGGTTAACTGATATCTCTGCTATATTTAGTGATTGTGGAAGGGGTTATTACTAATACTGTTTTGTTTTGTTTCTTGTAAATAAATTTTGTTTACCATTGTAACTATTCATTGAGGTTTACAAATTTTTAAAAGCTGTTTTTGTATTCCCCACCTCCCACAGAAAAAATTGTACATATGGGGACTAGTTAGGACTTCATAAAGTCTCTGAGGTATTATGGTGGTTGTAGTAAGAATGTTAAGTAAGAATGTGGCATTTTGGTGCAAGGGTTATTATAACATGTCTGGTCAGTGACTGTTACTAAGTTTTAGTATAAGACAGATGATGACCAACCTGCCCTTTTTCCCATTATTGGCTCTGTGCCCTATTTGTACTGACGTGCAATAAATATTGAAATTTTCTATTTTTTTGGTGAAGTGTTGTCACAAAGTTTATTCAAGATCCTGTTTTCGCATTAACAATAAGTTTAATAAAACATTAGGTGGAGATATATTAACATACTTAAAATGCCTTGAAAATAGTTTTAAATGTTATTCTTTGACAGTAGAAAGAATTATGATTTGAAATTTCATTAAAATCAATAATTCTTAAGATATTAAAAATTTTGAAGTAATTTTGAAATAATTACTTTTAATGAAAGTATTTGTTTAATATGATCATTTTGTATTTTTTGCATTTCATAAAACAGTCTCCAGTGAAAAATATCTTCATCTTTCACCTCAATGTTCCCCACTAAAAACAAATATTCAGTATTGTATCAGTGTTTTCAATCTGAAATATGGTCATTTTTGGGGGGGGAAAAAGAAGCCTATAAAAACTAATATAATAGATTGAACGTTATGCAACGAAAATTTTATATAAAAATCAGCTAATAACTGTGAATACAGATTTATTAATCCTCTCTTGTATTTTCAGAGTCTCTCTCTTTTACATACACAAACAGATGATGAATTATAAACCAATAATATACATTGAATAAAATAAATGTCTTTATATTCTTACTTTGTTGATCATTCTAATTTCTTCAACCCTTTCTTTTATTGCATAGTATCATAGAATCTTGGAAGAATATGGATATGCAACTATGGCTAATGATTTAAGATCTTGTCTCAGAATCCCAATAGCTTCAATCTCTATGGTATACAGTTTTTACTTACAGATACCATTAATATTCTGTTGGTGGGAGCAGCTGACATTCGACATGTCTTAAAAACCATCACATGTGCCAATCTGCATCCAAAAAAGAAACTACATGTATGTATATTATTTATCTACCTGTTATATTCTTTTTATGTCATTACTAAAAGATAAAAATGTTTAAGAGTGTGTGTACCAGAGAGAGAGAGAGAGAGAGAGAGTGTGTGTGTGTGTGTGTGTGTGTGTGTGGTTTCTTATGTTCTTTTAACTGGTTACAATTAGATGTCACTATCATGCAATGGTATTGCATTGAACTAAACAATATTAACTTTTTCACAACAAATCTCATGCAATTATTTCATGATTCATATGAAATACAACAATATGCAACATGCTCACAGATTGCTGGCTGTTAAATTCACTCTTTAGTCCTCATGTTATATATTATCTGAACAAGAAGAAAGAAAAATCTCATTTCCAATCAGAACAAAGCAATTGGGTTGAATTTCTAACTCAGTCCTAATCCAATTTACAAAATATGTCAAGGTATTGTTGTGAGAAACAAAAAGTTATCTCCCATCGACTAGAATAAAAAGCTAAATATAAATAATCACAAGAAAAAAACCCCAAAAAACAGTCATGTGACCTGACATCGCATAAAATGTGCATAAAATAAACAGCTTCTTTTAGCGCCAACCAGCAAGGCAAGGGGATGTGCGTTTTCAGGTTCATGAACAATTCACAAAAATAAATACAAAAATTACACATTGTTCTTTTGATATACAAACAATTATAAGAAAATGCCTGCCTACTTTGTATTAACAATACATTCAAGTGCTTTTATACAAAGATATTCATGTTTTATTTAAAGTCTTTTATATGTTTATGTTGTCATATATTCATTTACTTTGTAAATGAAGTGAATAAATAATATATACATATGCATAACATATTTGGTGACCACTGACATGTATAAAAACCAAAACACATTTGGTGATCACTACAAAGAAACACACTTTAATAAACTCACATTTGGTGAATATAAAAAAAATTTATATACATATGTTAAGCACATTACACAAAAAAACTCCCAAAAAACAAAATGGAACAAGTGCACTATGAGACAATGGTCCAACAGATTACAATTAAAATGCCAGAATTTATACAAGCTAATATTACCAGTTGGTTCACAATTATTGAGTCTCAATTTTATCTGAGAAATATAACTTCCCAAACCACAAAATTTTACATCAATGCATCTCTACTTCCAGAAATAGTGGTGAAGATACCTGGCAACATTCTACATATTCACGACTATGATGAGTTGAAAAAGACTCTAATAGAGATGCACAAAGACAGAATTGCTAGAAAAATTAATGTCCCTTCCATTATTACAGGTTGACCATCAATTTATCTTCAGGAAATGCTGCAACATATTCCATAGTCTAATCCCTGCTAAGTCGAATAGGCAACAGTGGCAATTAGCAATTCTCACTGAATATATATTAGATATAGGTCACATAAAGAGAGATCAAAACGTTATAGCTGATTGCTTTTCAAAACCTACCCTAGCAATTACAGTAGGTCTGTGTGACTTACTCAGGATAGCTGCTGCACAGCTCAAAGAATATTTCCAGACTTTAAAAAAATTCAATTTTATTACTGGTAATAATAGTTCCATATTCTGTGATAATGCTACTGGTGTTCCCAGACCATATATACTTGGTAAATTAGTAAAATCTATTTTTGATAGTATCCTTGCAATATCATACCCAGGAATTAAAACCTCATGTAAACTGATCAAATCAAGACTTTTTTGGGGGGCCCAATAGGGACAAAATAAAAGACATGTGTAATGAATGAAACTTACTTGAAAAGCAAAATTCAGAGACATACTAAATCACCAAATTGAATTACCTACTATTCGCTTCAATATGGTTCACTTAGATTTAATTGGTCCTCTTCCTGTGACCAAGAGATGTTATGAAATATACAATACTCCTTACAAATATGTGTTAACCTGTATTAACCACATAACTAAATATATTGAAGTAGAACCAATACCAGAAATGGCCTCAATAGTTGGCTTCTATAGATTACACACAACTAGTTACCATCCACAAACTAACAGAATGATCAAACGTGCACATGGAACAATTAAAACATCATTAACAGCAAGAAAGGAATCATGGCTAGGCGCCCTTCCAATAATATTAATGGGTATCCATGCCGCACCTAATTCTTCTAATACTTCACCCTTCTTTACTGTTACAGGCATGCATATAATGATTCCTCTGTTGTTAGTAGATGATATTAATGATAATAATAATCAGAAGTTTTCTAAGGAGTTACAATGTACCTTACACATATTACATTCAACAAAGATTATAGCTCTGTAAATAAATTACATCAATACGTTCTTGACAAACTTAAGACATGTAAAAGTGTATGGCTAAGTATAGACAGAGTTTGCAAGCCTTTGGAAGCACTTTACACTGATCTCTTCCAAGTGTTACTTAGAACTGACAAATATTTTGTAATTAAAATGAACACTGACAGTCACAGTATCAATAAATAGGTTAAAACCACATGTTGAACCTAAAAATGATAAGCAAGTAATAACTGAAAAGCAACCTCATAGTGATGAGAATAATTGATACAGAAAACATAGACAGAGATAGTAAGCCCAATCATACGAAAGCAGATAGAAAAGTTTCTTGGAAAAGTCCCAACCAGTATCACTACTACTAGACTCTGCTACTAGGCAGGGAGGTTTGTTGTGAGAGACAAAACGTTAACCCCCCTTGACTAAAATAAAAAGCTAAATATAGATAATAACAAGAATAAAAAACATTCACCTGACCTGATGAGAACTGCACAAGATGCACATAAAATAAACAGCCTCTTTTAGCTCTGACCAGCAAGGTAAGTGAACATGCAATTTTCAGACTCGTAAGATAAGTACAAAAATGGTACATTGTTTTTTTGGTACACAAGCAATTGTAAGTAACTACATGACAACTTTTTATTAACAATAGCAAATATAAATATATATACATTCAAGTGTTTTTATACAAAGCCTTTTGAGTAAACACAAATCCCTGTTTAATCCCTCTATATTATGTAAGTATGACTGACTATTGATAATCTGAAAATTATGAAAATAAACATTGAAATAGTGTTGTTCCTATTGTGTTCTAACAAATTTAGTAGTTGTTTCCAATTAATTTTTTTATTACTTGATGCCAGTTGGGGCGCATAGAATCTGGTGCAATTTCATAAGGAAAGGTGTAATTTTATTTTAGATACAAATGGTTGACAAAACCATGCTACTGTATCAGTAGCCATTTTGGTGGAGAAGATAACAAGGGTCTACCACTATAAAAAATAGAAAAAATTCAACAGAAAATTGATATCAATTTTCTTTTATCATAGTAGGTTACTTCTGTTTGAAGAATAAAAGGAAGAGGTAACAATAACCTTTCTGTAATTATTGATTGTCTTTTTTGTGTTTGCCTTAAACTGTAAAATTTTTCACTACTCAACAGAAAAATATTAACAATATTAACATATTTTTTAAATGTTGTTTACCAACTAGCATGTTTTGTCAAGTTATATTCACACTTTGTATTTTAGAATTATCTAATGAACAAGCTTGTTTGAAATAAATTGCATTTCTATTAATTTCATTTATTCAAACAACAATGAAAGATTATTCACTGTTTATAAAGAAGGGTAACCAAAAGATCTTTAAAATTTCAGAAAAGGATCAGCCTGAATAAAGTTAACTTTAATTTCTTCACCATTCTTTTGTTTTTAGTTTCATATATTTGAAAATCGTCTGGAACTCTATGCCCGCCATATGCTGCTGTTGGCCATTGCTCTTGAACCCTACACACAAGTGGGACTTCAAGGTGAAGTAATATTTTAACTATTCTATATTCACATAGGTTACTCTAAGAAGTACACTTTTGGTACTTCTACATGTATAAAAATATGACAACTCAAGAATAATATAAATTATTGTACCATAATTTTATCAATTTTTGTTTTTTGCTTTTTCTATTTATGTAAATTTTAATTCTGGAATATACATTTTTATATTTAAATTTATTAAAATTTTAAAAAATTTCTTTTCAGATAAAGTTGAGCTTTTCTTAGAGTTATATGGTAATTCATTGGTCAGGACAAAATCATTTGAATATCTACAGAAAATGTCCAATGAATTCATCAGGTAAGAAATAGATAAACGTTTGATGACCTATAGATATTTCCCTCCCGGCATAAGGCAATAATGATTTGAGACAAAGTGATTTTGATAGATAAATTAGAATGTTGTAAATAAGTGATTAACTGAGTTAAGTGTGTTGATATGCGGTAAATACAAAGGCTAAAGTAATTACTTTATTAATTGTGGTAAAAAGATGAGAGAAAAGAAGTGAAAACTTACCGGTGCCGGAAGCAAAAAGCTAGAAAAGTGGAAGTAACAAGTATGCATTATGGATGAATGGTGGTTGCATAAAAGCTGGAAAGAATATTGGGCAAGGAGCTTTTTTTCTTTGCAAATGGGTGTCAGCAAGTGAACGGACAGGATAGGAAAGGAAGAAGAGGAAAGAAAGAAAGAGAGTTTTTTATTGTCTCTGTATATCAGCAAGACCACAAGCTCTTTCAGCATTTCATGATGGAAGGAGAGGGGGAGAATGTGTGCAGCCAGTGACACAATCAGACCCTTTGATGGACAGGGAGATGCAGTGGCATGGCTCACAAAAGTGAAGTTGGTTGCTAGGTTGCAATATATCACTAACCTGCTGTATGCATTGGCTCTCTCTATATGGAGATGAATGAGATTGATATGACAGATGCCGAGATGATTGGGTCAATGCTACTCAAGGCCTTTATGGATGGACCTTTCATAGCATATGGAAAATTGATAAAATCCAAATGGACTGGCAAATCCATTGATGTTTATGCTAACAACATAAGGTGATTGGCAGGATTAGCGGGATTTGTGGGAAGAAGTGCAGAGAGGATGGTAAATCTGCCATTTTTGCACAGATTTCCGGACCAAATATCAATTACATTTCAACAGCTGCCCCAGGTAGAAACTAAGGAGATGAGTGAGCTGATAACTGCCACTAGGGTGCTAACTGTGAATAGAGCAGGAGAATCCCTTGGAATAGGAGCTGTGGTACCACTAAAGAACCAGGAACAGAACAGACAAGAAAGTTTAGCAGACAATATTTTCAGAGTCATGGGCTGCACATGATAAGATTGTAAGGAACAACCAAAGCCTGCTGTGACATGCTACAGATGTGGAGAGAAGGGACACATTGTCAGATTTTGTCCCCAGAGAAATGGGCAAGGGTGAGTTACTGCACCAGTAGCTACCCCGATGGATTAACATCAGCATGACACCAAATCTTACCAATTGTAATGGATGTAGTAGAGGAAAGGAAAACAAGAGCACTGGTGGATACTGGATGCACTCTGACCCTGGTGACTCCTTGGTTGGTAAGAAATTTGAGTGGAGAAGTGCTTATAAAAGCAGTTGGTGGAGAGAGGTTGCCTGCAAGGACTCTAGCACTGCAACATTATTGGTAGAAGAGGTGCAGTTTAAGATAAAGGTGCTTGTCAACAGCATTGACGTCATCATTAGTATGGATGCGATTGATAAACTGGGGGGAGTCACTATTAATCGAAACCAGGTTAAATTTGGTAAACTAGAGACTCCAGAAAGATTTGAATGCTTGATGTCCAATAAATTTGGTAAGATGCTAAGTGCAGTGATTCTGCAACTGCAAGTTAGTGGACAGACTAAGCTAAAAGTTCAGGATAAGGATTTTTGTGCCAAATTTGATATCAAAAAGTGGAGTGTTGAATGGTGCTGGACAAGTGGACCACCCATATTAAAGAACAGAGTAAGCTTATATGAGAATTCCATGAAAGAAGAGAAGAGAGTGGTGTTTGAAAAGGAGATGAACAGATGGATTGAAGAAGGCATCCTGGTACCATGGAAGGAGAAAGTCCAAAGTGGAATATTGCCACTGATGGCAGTTAACCAATGAACAAAACATAAAAACATAAAGTTAGGCCAGTACTAGACTTTAGGGAGTTGAATACATATGTATCATGCCACGCAGGAAGTGATGATGTTGATGTATGTGGAGAAACCATGTGAGAATGGAGACAGACAATGGGTGCTGCTACAATTGTAGATCTGAAATCAGCATACATGCAATTGCATGTAGCAGAGAAGCTGTAGTAGTACCAACTTGTAAGGTACAAGGGGACTATCTATAGCCTTAATAGATTGGGGTTTGGATTGAATGACATGCTAAAAATCAAGGTGGCAATGCTCAAGACTGTACTGAAGCAGGAGGAGACAATAGGGTTGGCCACAAATTCATATATCAATGACATCCTGGTGGATGAGATGGTTGTGTATGCAGAAAAAAGTCATGGGTAAACCAAATTTTTGTTTGTAGAATAAGTTATTGAAAAAAAAAGAAACAGTGGTTAGTGATTAATTTATGTCTTTATGATTTTGTGGGTGGATATTTTGTCTATTCAAATTTTTATCATATTTTTCCAATTTCTGAACATGTTATCTGGAAAGATATAATAAAAAGTTGAATAGACAAACCTTGTTGGTGAAATTTGGATATATTAATGATCCTATTTCTGTATGTTTATTTGTTGTTTGCCACCAAAGCACAGCAAAAATAGCACACTTTCATAACTGAACATTTTTTGTTTATTGTAAGCATTCTGGGATTGCAAAGGGAATATTTGTCACAGATTACTTCCACAACGCAGAGAACAAATCACTGTAAGTTCAGACTCGAATATCGGGGACAGAAAGAAATGCTGAAATCTCAATTCGCCAGTATTATCTCACAAATCACAATGCACATAACCAGTCAGAAAAATAACTCACTCTCCGATGAATGCGGCAGCCAAAATACACAAATTTTACTCCTCTCTTACGATTCAAGAACGCCAACTGCTTTTATCGGCCAAGCATTTTTTCCATTTGTCGACAACTGGGAGAGGACCTGCCCAATACATTTGCATGAGTAGTCTCTATTCACCCATATATCTCTCCATTAAATGACTCAGGTCAGTCAGTTTTAGCTTGGTGGCTGCACCAGTCTACTTGTGTGTCAGATCACTTGCTAGCTAACCAATATTCTACAATATTAAAATACTTTTATGGTGACTCCTGTGACTGACTTGTTTCTAATTTAAATATTCTGTCTTCAGCATGTCATGCAGAATACGTGCCCTTTTTTTTTTGGTAAGTAATTTTTTTTTCATCACATTTTCCATCGTAGCATACATGCGACATACTGTCGCTTGGTTTGATGAGGTAATTCGCCATTTTCTTCACTATATTTATAGAATACCATTAAAAGACATGTGAATAAAACAATGTCCAGTCTATTTAGGCCATAGTTAATTAAATATTGACTGACAAAAAGTCCTTAGTCTATTTGTTGCTAATCACAAAATTGTTTCCCTTGATCTCTCTATATTGTCAACCTTAATAACATAATTAGTATTTGGAAATAATTATTATATACATTTTAAAAGTAATAAGTGACATGATGTTGAGCAAAGGCAGCCAAATGAAGTTATAATTGTATTGATAAATCATCAGTTACCTCCCCTTAAGATTTAGGAGGTATAAAAAGCACCCTGTAATATCCATCAGTAGACAAGTAGTAAGAGTAAAGTGCAATAAAGCTTTGGTATGAATTTATTTACTGGTTCTGTTTTTACTACAATAATATTTTAAATTCTTTAAATTTACAATTTCGGACTATTAAAGTAAGGATTACTACTACATTTATGAAAGTTTGTATTCATTGATAATCTTTGAATCAATCAGTGAATGCTTTTTTATTTCAAGGTGGAATTAGATATGTTTGTAAAATGTATGAACAATAATAAAATGAACCTCTAGTCTATTATGTTTAACTGTTAAGAATTTTGAGATAATTTTGAAGTAGAAAGTCATATGAAATATACTGCTTTTAGTTCTGTCCTTTGCTAATTAACTAATATGTTGATATTCATTGTATATTAGATAGAATTAATATTGTACAATGTAATGATCCTACCTCAAGATTTAAAGATCTTGAAATTGAATTGAAAAGATAAATTTCATTTTTTTTCTCTAATTTCTTGTAGAATGGTGACAGATTTTGATTATCTGGAAAAGAAACTCCCTTGTCTTGACATGACAAGGTTAAAGGTAAAATTTTAAGGCCTAATTATTTTTTCTTTTTTACATTTATTTGCATATTTAAAATTTCATGAAATTTTTATTGATCAGTTCATTTGTTGTGTATTTTTCTCCATGATGTTTCAATTGATTTTCCTGAATGGATTTTTTTTCAAGTAGTTTTCATATTTAAAATAATCAAGATTACAAATAACTGGAAAAGTATTTTATTCTGATTTATTTCACATAATTTTGATTGCTGTAATTTTATTGATATATAAAGAATTTATTTTTGTACAATGCTTCAAAGATACACCAAAAATAATTATACTGATTACTGATATCAGAGAACAAACAAGAAAAACAATGTCTTTATAGCATCACTTGACCCAGCATATTGCAAAAATCCCGTATTATATTTTATCATCACAAATTGTACTATGTTTCATATAATTAGTCAAAATTCCAACATGTTGTAGGCATCTCTCAACCTGCTATTTCCAGACTTACAAAAGAGAGAATTCATGGTATAATTTGGTCTTTCTTCATCTCTATATTACCCTCTAATATCCTGACCTGTTGGTAACACACAGAAAAGGTTACTGAGTGTTAGAGAATATGAGAAAAACTACTATTAAGGAGAGAGGACAATAAAAGAATAAGTCATTGCATTTATACTTTTGAAGATCAAAGTTGACTGGGAAGCAAGAAGCCAGAAGAGAGTTCTTCAAGCAAGATGTATGATAGAAGAAACTGTTAGCATAGAACTTATGGCTAAATTTTTAGCCATTTCAACTGTAAAATGATGAGGCCTTGCTGCCAATCTAGTACTGTACTTAAATTCATAAAGTCTAGGTACCATAGAAGAAAGTTCATCAGAATAATTACCATAGAAAAAGCACAGGAAAACTATGTTACAGTGGTGGGAAAGGGATTGAAGCCAAGATGCCAGGTCAGGATCAATAACATTGGAGATTCTTCTTTGGATTTTATCAAAAACCTCTAAATATATAGCAGGAGCACCAGACTAGATGTGGCAAATATTCGAAGCAATGATGAATGGTAAACTTATAAATATGTAAGATAGATTCTGGTGAGAAAAATTGTCTAGCACAAGATAGTGAACCAAATTTCTCTGCTGCAGACCTAGCAATTGATTCAAGATACTCTTTCCACTTTATGTCAGCTGAAAACATTAGTCCAAGAAGGCGAAATGAGTCACTCTTCTGGAGGTTACTATCAGCCATGCTGATGGAAGCTAAAAAAGGTTCTCTCAGATGATTAAAAGTGAGCAGTTTCGTTTTTGAGGTGTTAAAATTAGCAAGTTACTCTTTGTCTCATTTAACAACAGATTGTAGGTAATTTTTTTTAGATCAAAAAAATAATTTAACTTTATTGAACTGATCAAACTTACTATTAAGAGAGGAATAAATAATTGTGTCATCAGCATAAATACTGAGTTGAGAACTGATTAACATCAGGAAATTTTCATTTATGAAAATTAAAAACAACATAAATTCTAAAAGATAGAACCTTTTATACAACTGCATTTATAGTTGCAAAAGATCTAGAAGAGTGGCCATTTAAGATATTTATTTCATTTTCAAAATTTGAAATTTTACTGAATCAGTTCAAACATTTGTCCAGAAATGCCAAAACCTTTCAACTTGTTAAGAAGATCAGTAAAATAAAATTTTTTCAAATGCCTTCAAGATATTTTAAAAGCAACAGCCCAAGCTTCTACATTTTGTAATAAATTTTGAAAGAATTTTTCAGCAACAATCATTAACACATCAGCATTGTCTATATAGTTTATTAACATTTCAAACCTTTATTTTATAACTCAATAATTCAAATTATTGAAAAAAAATTAGGTTTCGAACTATTTATGATAAAAACTAAAAACCATCAAAATGAATTTTACTTTTCAGTATTTTGATTAGATGCTGGAAAAGGTTGGAAATTTGAGGTTCAGGACATTCTCAATACTAAACTGATGCAGGATAAATTCTGCCAATTTAAAATATATCAATATATTTATCTGAAATATTTGACACAGAAGAAAAAAATCATTGGAAATTATGATCCTAAAAAAAATAGTGTTATAAAATACTAGTTTAATTAGAACAAAAATAGTATTTTTTTTTTTGATTTGGGACAGTTTGATTTTATTTTACAAATTTAAAAACTCAAAAAAGTCAGTAAAACATATTGACAAAATTTAAACATTGATAGATATTCTGATGAACCCTGTTTCATTTTTTTCCAACATAAGAGAAAAAATTTATTAAATTTTTTTTAAATCAGTTTAAAGAAAGAGATTTCATGGAAGGTATTTTCAAATTCTGGAGAAATCCTGATCAGAAACTGTTTGATATCAGCAAATGTTGGTGAGTATCCAAAAAGTAATTTTCTTACAAATCAGGTTCATTAAAAATAGAACTCATCAGGAAAACAACAACTTATTGTGAATCAAGATAGGCATCTTTAGCAATGACTAAAATTCAATCATTATTGACAGATGACTGCTATAATAAAATGGGATTGCCAATAAAGTTCACTGGGTTCATTAAAAGGTCACTGATTCAGAAAAAAATAAAATTTAAAAAATTTCAAAATTATGAGATCAAACATTAAAAATCCAAGCAACATTCCAGAATTATTTATAAAAAAAAAAAAGCTTTTAGAAAAGATAGTCAATTTTCAAATTTAATTTAAAAAAAAAAAAAAATAATGAAAACCAAAAAAATAAAATGTTTTAATTTTTTGTTTAACAAGATTTATCAAGCAAATTATCTTCAATATTCCAAAAATATTAATTTTAAACAAAATTTTTATATATTTGATAATTTTTAATGTAAAGTTTATGAGAATATTTTACAGTACCTGAAATAATGGTGATGATAAAAAGTACATGCACAAAATAACATCCAATTGATTTGCAATGCAAGATAATATTTATTAAAAAAAAATTAAATAAATTGAAGACAATAACTTTATTTCTTTTAAAAAAAATAAATTACAAAAACAAAAAAAAAAATGGATATATAAAAGTGTAAATTTACTAATGTGTTGGTTTAATTTTAGAAATTTCAAAAAAAATTCATTTTAAAAAAAAGTTTTAATTTTGTTGAAAAAAAAGGATGAACTTAGAAGATTTTTATAAAAATTTTCTTTTTGTTTTTTATTAATTGGACAAAATCTGATACTAGTTTAATTTTATTCAAATTAGGATTAAGACAGAATTGAAAATTATTACTTTTTCTATCATCCAGGCCTTTATATAAATCTAATTTTACAGGGAAGACTTGTCAGGTGTCCATTTAATGAATGAATGCAGGTAGCTAGATAATGGCATTAGAGTCCAACTCAATTTTTTTTATTTTAATTTAGAATGGCTATTTAAGTTAACATTTATAAAGCATAAGTATAAGAAAAATAATAACTAAGCTTATAAATTTAAAATTTTAAATAAAAAACCAAACTTAAAAACTTTCATCAACTTATTTTACACATATTTAATTCACTGGGATTTTCATTCCTACTTTTTTATTTCAATGACATCACCTTTGATGAACCAACCATCATCATTGTGGATGACTTTCATTCTGTCATGACTTGGGATAAATTCAGTTTTAAAATCTAATATATCAATGTTGATTTTAATCCATCAATCAAAGCAACAAATCCTTAAGTTGCCCTAAAATTATAAAATTCTTAATCTTTATTTCAAATGATATTAAATAGGAGGACATCCAGATTCTAGATTTCCATATCAACAAAATAAAATAAGCTTTTATTTTAATCATTTTAAAGATTATGATCAAAAACAAAATTTTTCATACTCAGAGAAACATCTACCTGGCTCTGTTTGAGACAACTTTTAGAGTTAGATGCAATATCAAATGAAAAATTTCAAAATCATAAATAAATTGTTTTTCATCTTGTTTTTAATCTTTTAGCATTAAAATTTTGACCAACATAGCTGCACTAGTGTACCTGTCATTGTTAATGTTAAATAAACAATGGATAAATTGTCATCTAAATTACACAAAAATGAAAATAACACTGACAACTCATTTTAACAGATATATTTACCAAAATTACACAAAAATATCTTGAAATACTAAAGAGTAAATTTATTCAATAAAATTGCCCATTGGCTTCAACCACAGCCTCTCCAGATGACTTTGGAATCTCCTGCAATCTCTTCTGGATGGTCTCCTTGTTTAAGTTGGTGAATGCTGCCATAATCCTTGCCTTCAGTTCATCTTTGGTGTTACAAGGAGTTTTGTTGTCTCTCTTTGCTCAACTGCACCCCACACATAATAATCAAGTGGGTTGCAGTCTGGGGAGTTAGATGGCCAGATGTAAAGAGTGATATGGTTGCAGAAATTGTCTGACAGCCATGACTGGCTTCTCTGCTTGTGTGGCATGTTGCAGTTCTGTTGCCAGACATAATGTCTTCCAGCAGCCACCCTCTTGACCCAGGGCAGCACTACCTCCTCAAGGCACTTAGTATAGGCCTCCATGTTGAGTCTGAGGCCCTCACCAACAAATTTGGGAGTTCTTTTCTTATCAGAATGATCAGAGTGAGTTTTCAAGCTGCAAATACCTTCATAATCACCATTAGACTCATCCAACTCTTTTCTGAATCCTCTGCACTGTCCTCAGATTGACACCCAAACACTCTGAAATGTTTCATATTGGAGCTTCCAGCATGAATGCCAAGCAGTACAGCATGCCATTTCCAAATTTCTGGCAGAGTGAATTGCATCATGGTGCTCTTTTTTTTCTCACAGATGGTGCCCAACTGACCCTACTATACTGTGCAGTTGACAAAATCAAAAAAAAAAATGTGCATGCACAAAATTAAAAATATAAAATATGACAATTTACCCATCGCACCCCTGAAAATATATATATATTTGCATATATATAAATTAAATATATAATTATATATATATAAAAATATATAATATAAATAGAATAAATGAATGCATTTGATATAACAAAAAAAAACATTTAATTAAAATTTTTGTATAAAAAAAAATTAATTTTTTTTATAAAAACACAAAAAAAATTTTGAAAAAAATATCACATAAAAAAAAAAAAGCCATTTTAAATAAAAATAAACATTTAAATATAAAAGATTTTTAATACAAAAACAATGCATATATATATATTTTATATTTAAATAATTATTAAAAAAAATATTTTAAAAAATTTTACCAAATATTAATAAAATAATATTTTTTAAAGATAATTTTAAATAAAAAAATTTTTTGGTAAAAAATACATAAACATTAATATATTTTTATATTTATTTATATTTTTATAATAAAAAATTAAATAATTTAAATTTTAAAAATATTTTTATTTCAACAATTTAAATTTGCTAATTTCAAAAAAAAAAGTTTTTAGATTGAATAAAAAAAAAAAAAAAAATTTTTTTTTAAAAATGTTTTTTATATTTTTAAATTTTAAAAATAAATATAAAAGAAAATAGGGTTATCTAAAATTTTTTACTTTCAAATGACATAAATGAAGATAAATATTTTTTTATTGATATAATCACATTAAATAAATAAAAAAAAAAGAAGATAAATTTGAAGAAAAAAAAAGAAAAAATTCAATTTTTTATTTTTTGATCAAATTTTAAATTTTAAAATGATAAATTATATACAAATTTATAAAAATTACATATATTTAAAAAAAAATATTTCTTAATTTTTTAATAAATATGTGAAGTCTTTTTTAATATTTTAAAAATTTGATTCCAAAATTTCATTAAAAAAAAAATGTTTTAAAAATTTTTCAAATTATTTTAGCTAAAAATTTTTTTAAAAAATTTGAAATTGGAATAATTTAAAAAAATGTTTTATTTTGAAAATATATAATATCAAAATTTTACAAAAAAATTTAAAACAATTCTATTTTTTTCTATATTTATAAATTTCAAATTAAATTTTTGAATAATTAAATTTTTTTCAGTAATTTTCACATTTTTCCATTTTTACAAAAAAATTGAAAAAATTTTTAAAAAAAAAACAAATTTAATTAAAAATTATAAATTATATATTTAAAAAAAAATTTTTAAATAATATTTATGATAAATTTCATTGGAACATAATTATTTTAAAAAAAATTTTTAAAATTTTCAAATTTAAAAAAATTTAATTAAAAATTAAAAAAAAAAAAAAAAAATTTTTTTAATTTTTTTAATTTTTTTTAAATTATAAAAATATAAACATGAAGTTTTAATTTTAAATATAAAAAAAATTTTTTTTATTAAAATCAGTTTTAAAAAAAAATTTTCATTTTTCTTTTTTAAAATTTTTTATCTTTATATTCAACATTATTTTTATATATTCATAAAATTAAAAAATATAAATTCATTTTGAAATATTTAAAAAAATTTTCAAGTTATAAATAGCTAAATTCATAAAATTTTTAAATATTTTAAAATAAGAAAAATATATTTTTATTCAAAATAAATTTTTCAAAAAATTTAAAATGAAATAAAGAAAAAAATATTTAATTTAAAAATAAATATGTTTTTATTTTTATTTTATTTATTTTATAAAAAATAAAATTTTATAAACATTTTTATTAAAAAAGTTTTCAGAATTTTGAAAAAAATTTTGAAAAAAAAAATTTTAAGGAAATTTAAAAATATTTTATTAAATTTAAAATATAAAAAGAAAAAAATATTGAAATAAAAATTCATTGAAAATAAAATTTTTGAAATTTTTATCCTTTTACCTAGTATATATAAATGTTATTGAAATTTACAACTTAAAAATCTTATAATAAAATTAAAAAAGTGTTTGAGATTTTAAAAATTAGAAATATTAAATATTTGAAAGAAAATCCATTTTATTTAAATTTTATAAAATATTTAAACAATGTTTCATTGAACATTATTGCATTTTTTTAGTTGAACATTTTTAAATAATTTTTTTGTTTAAAATTTTAATCATATAAAAAAAAAAATGAATTCAAAAAAACAAAAAAATGAAAAAAAGGTTATTTTCATTTCAGAAAAAAAAATTTAAAAATTAATTTAAGAAAATTTTAATTTTTAAATTTTATTTATTTTATTAAAAAAAAATTTGATAGAAATAATTTTAAAATTTTTAAGTTGTTTTATGTTTATATTTTAAAAAATTTTTTTTATTTTTTTTTTTTTAAATTTAAATGAAATTAATTTGATTTTTAAATTTTTTTTTTTCAAACATTGTTTTAAATTTATATAAAAATTGAAAAGTTAAGTGCTTTCCAAAAGAAAAAAAACAACAAAAATATAATATTGTTTTTAAATCAAAAAAATTTTTAAAATTTTGAAAATTTAAAAAAAAAAAATTATTTTTAATAAAATTTACTGTTTGCAC